GCAAGCCCCGCGACTAGCGTCGAGACCGGGGGAGTGGAAAAGCGACAGAGAAGAGAGATTGACGCGCACGCAAGCGAGCAAGCAAGCATTGACGCACAAGCGAGTCGGGCCGTTTTTGCAAACATGAATTTGGATACACCTGCTCCTTTGTCATTTCATTGTGGCAAGCCCATCTCGAAGTTCGCTGTAGCATCTCGGCGGCAGGACTGTCTTCAGGTGAAAAAGCATGACGACGACTCATTCATCCCTACTGGCAAGCACGACCGAACTTGATTCTCGGTCGCCATATCAGAATGAAGGGGCCCGGAGAGGGCCGTGAGCAGCACCGCATTGGATTCCGTGCCCGGCCAAGAAGAAAAATATCTGATATCACATTAAGCCATGCTCAAACTATGACGGAACACCCGCTGCCTAGCCAGAGCGTTTGTAAGTTTCGCGTACCCTTGACTCATGAGCGATCATCCACTCGGTCTTAGCTGTCTATTAAGCTGTCGTCGTATCCAGATGATGCTCTGAAACCGGGAGCATCTTGAGCTATTCAAGAGCTTCATTGAGCTTTCAGACAACGACGATCAGGGTATCGAGATCTCTGATCGGAAGCTATTTCGGATGTTGTATCCCATAATAGTACGACTGACTTCAAATTCATCGTGAGAAATTCGCCACCTTTCAGATGAGCTGAAGGCTCCGGAAAAGATCCGATTCCAAAGACGTCGCCGAGGAGATCACTCTAATCTTTACCTTAGTCTGGAAAATGAGTATCCCGATTAAGGACATCTTCAGCAGTAAGGCAGAAATTTCTTCTCGGAGGGGGGCCCTCGGGCTGGATAGCGCGCGAATATTCCTCTCGCGGGGAGTCGACTCACCATAGATAGTGTCTCCAAGCCCCTGATTTTCTCGGAGCAAAATAAATCCGCGGATGAATATGCGGCCGGTAATTATTTGGGAAGCAGTTTTGATGAAGGAGTCTGCATCCTGGTGCTTAGCGCCCCCATAATTCAACAGCATCGCTGCTGTTGATTGAGGGAGCACAGCTGTGACATAGCTTCCCGGAAAGTCGTTGCGAACTGGCGGACATCTGAGTTTCACAGAGGAGGCCGAGCCGGACTCTATTCAGAAAAAGGCTTTTTATTCTGAGATAATTCACCTCTTGAATTGTATAAGCTTGCTGCTCCGTTTTCACCGAGCATCGTGTCAAGGAGAGGAGCGTCGATAACCGCAGGTGGACGCCGTTTCCTGATGATTTTCGGCTGGCAGCTGTGAATAGGAGACATCTCCCGAGATGAGGAGCACTCGTCGTGGAATCAGATCACCGGAAGCATGAATCCTGGAGGGAGCTCAATATTTTCCGGATCCAGTATCTCTCGACGATCGCGTCGCTAGCTCCTGCAAGCCAGAAGCACCAAAATGAGCAGATCACGGAGGGCGCGATGCTGAACAATAGGTCGCTCGAGATTGGAGATCATTACTTGAATTCGGAAGACTCGCAGATTGCGTCTTCATCAGCGCCGATTCGGAGTCTGCAAGTCACTCGATTCAGTATGGACTGGAGCTTCGACAATCTGAATGTGACGGACAGCTCTCCATCTTATCCAAAGTCTAATCAAGTCGAGTCGATCGGTGGAGTCAATCACCTGTGAATGATCACTCCACATCGGTGCGCTTCACATCCGCTCTTAAGTTTCTATGGATGCTGTGATGAAAGAGGCGGCCTCGCTCTTGATCTCGGACAGATTCTCGCGGAATGAAACAAAGGACGGAATACAGCCCAAGCTTTCCGGCACGATGCCGGCATCTCTCACGGGCACATGAAGGGTTATTGCCTCCAGAGGATCTCCATGTACGGGGTTTTGCGTTTGTCGAATTTTTGCCTGCAGTCACCGCATCCCCCCCCCTCTGCGGTGCCAAGGCAGGAATGACCTCTGTCGGTCCGTCTCATGCACACCACTGGCAGGAGTTCCCCGCAATAAGTCACCCTTCCTCTCTAGAAACCCTGGATGACAGCGGCGGACCCATTCGCGGCTGGGTGACTGAGTCCTCTTGCGATATTGGAGGGACAGGCAGTCGAAATCTGCAAGGGGATCGATCGCTTGACCTCTGTCTATTTTCAATCACCGAAATTCGGAGTTATCGTATCCCGTATCATACATCGAATGATAATCGTGCAGTCGATTTTCTTCCCAGAGAGTCGACGGGCTCTTTCGACAACTTAAATGTTTTTTAATCTGAGTCTTTCCAAACTTGAATATGAGGGAATCCGAATTCAAGTATTTGAATACAGTAAAAGCTCGTTACAACGACCCCCATTACAACGAAATTCTCGGTACAACGTACAAGGAACTTCTCCTCCTTTGGCCAGCTCGCCATAGGGACAGTGTTGAGCGGCATTCGTTACAGCGGAAACTCGGTACAACGAACCAGTTTCGTCGGTCCCCTCGTGTTCGTAGTAACGAGCTTTTACTGTATGACGACAGGGTTGCGGAGTAATCCAAAGCATTCGCCGATCTTTCGTTCTGGCGGCTCCAAAAATTACAGCGACAAAGACGGCAAACGAATTCAATTTCGACAGAGCCCTCAAGGTTTTCGGCGTTCATGTCAACACCTTCCCCTTCACAGGCTAAGGGGGAGAAGTTCACGGAGCATCGCCGTTGGAGAGCGAAGAACGAGCATTCGAAGGCGAGGAAGATGATGAGCAAGATGGTGATAGAGAAGAGAAAGACTATGAAGTAGTCGAGAAGCGAGACGAGGAAGAAAGGGAAGTTGATGAGCATTGGGAACTCGGCGCCTCTGAGCAAGGAGAGGAGATTGATTCAACCCTTGGATTGAGCTGGGAGGCAGAGTCGAATTACCGCCTCACGAGCGATGCGAGGCGCACGCATTGTCTTTGTGTGCAACGACCGATGTCAACTTGGTACTAAATGATTGTCCCCGACTTGGAGTATAACATGACTCTGAGCTAGAGAAGTGCAACGCCTCATAGAGGCCGAGGAAGAGGCCGAAAGCTGCTGGAACAACAAAATCATCACAGGCAGGTGCTCGCCGCGGCCTGAAGCAACACGGTGGAGTAGCCTCTACGACAGCATGAATGCTTTCCTTAGCTTTCAACACCACCTCGGCATGACAGGACAGTGGCTGGAGCTCCCGTGATTCTGACCATCGACGACGTCTTCGACCTCGAAGAATATCTGAAAAATGCCAAACCCATCGCAGACGCGCTAGACATCCTCCTGGGAGAGAGATGAGCTCTCAACACCGTTCTCCTTCCGACTCTCCAACGAGAAGTTCGAGAAGCGCGTTGTCCTCAGAGCTAACGCTAATCATCGAATGGAATTAGGATTCATGTAGGATGTGTGCGCGAATAAAGGTTGCCGATTATTTATACTTTTCCTAGGTCTCTAGCCTGTGAGTCTCCGGGACCACGTCGCTCCTTTAGGAAGCGTCCCCGGTTCTGTCCGATGCTTCAGAGAAGTGTGCGTACGTCAGCCCGCTGCCGAGACGCTCGTTCCATCGGATCGTAAGAGCTGTCTTCCGAGTCGATCTACAAGTTCTGGAATTTCGGGAGAAGGGCGGTGCAGGCGAAGGAAAATCATAGCGAAGGCAAACTGACGCCGAAATGGTCGACGGCCGCGGCGATGACTGAAGTTCGGAATGGACCTTAGGTACCCACTACCCGGAGGGAATTCGTCGTGAATTTGAATACCTTCATGGATAAATTCAACTATTCGAGCTTGAATAATGAAGCCCAGCTCCGTTCCAGGATGAGTCGAAATCGAAATCCGTCGCCTTCCGCCACAAGCCCTCAACGTGCTTTTCCGATCCGACGAGAATTCGCGGACGAAGGGGGCCCATGGGCAGAGAGGTCGGACTCGAGCATCAACCTTTCGGCAGAGACAAAGATGTACGATTCCGATGCGTGGTTCGTTGTACGATGGGAACGCTAATCGTACGCTGGAAGTCGAAGGTTTCAAACGCTCAGAGTCTCACTCTGTCTACTGGGGAAGAGAGTTCCGACCGCTCTCCGAATCAAACCCCACAAACGTTCTGTTGAAGTTCTCTACAGAAGCAGCTCCCCGCTCTATGGAACTTGTTTTTTCTGTGGGAGAAGTGCCTCTCGAGGAGAGCTGCATCGACTGGGATCTGTTCTCCTCGATTCCTATGTGTGAGTTCTCCGGACGCTTTGAAGAGTACTTCGACGGAAGGGAGGGCGTGCGACCCCTCGAGGACGTTTGGGTCGGTGGTTGGTCATTTTGTCCCTCCGAATGCGTTTGACCAATATGCCGGTTGCCCATGAGCATTTCAATTTTTCTTTGCAATGAAATTATCCTCGAGTATACCTGACTTGGGGATCCGTTCCGTCTCCGCCCCCGTCCCGCGTTCTCCTCTCTGCACGGAAGGAGCAGCTCTTCCGGACGCTCGCCGAGAGGGTGTCTATTTCTGTCATTATCGTACCCAATCGTGGTACCGGAGAGTTCTTAGTTCGACCATAGGATTGTGACCTCCCTATTCATGCCTCCCAGCCAAGGAACGTAGGATCTGCGGGCCCGTTTCCTGATGCAGTCCACTACATACGTCAAACGGCGATGGGGAAATATTTTCCTGCGTAGTATGAGCGGGGTCTGATGGCCGTCCTTGATTCAGCCGTACGAAAGCTCGAACGCGATTCGGCAGTGAAGGTGCCGTATCGAATTCACGAGAGCCACCTGAGCTTATTTTTCAGTCCCAGAGTATCGGAGTGCACCTCAGAGCACCTTGTCCCCAATCTTGATCGGAATTTGCGGCGAAAATATTTTATGCGAATACCGAATGATGCGGATCGAGCAGGCTTGGTGCTCTTCGAAGATCTGAAGATGGGAGGCGTCTCCTTGAGAATGCAGCCCCGGATATCTAGACAAACTTCGATAACCACATACCATGAAGTAATTGACCGGCCTAATTCGAAAAGCCCGCCGGAATGGTGGGAATGCGTTCATCCGTTGGTGCGTATGTTTGTGTTTCCCTAGCTGTTGACGAGAGGGGAGAAACGTTCCGTAAGCAAAACTTCCCTAGATATCTCTATCTCTTTGTGTCTGTTTTGAGATCGGAGAGCCAGCTTTGGTGGCAGATGCTATGGAACGTTCCGTACCAAAATAGTGTTCTTCGTTAGCTCTTCAGTCGGGCTTCCGAGCGCACGCTGCAGTAAAAGTTGCTGCTGCGGCACGAATGAACAGGACGGCGACACGTCCTTACAACGAACGAGACAAAATGCATCGGAGCAGCAAGCGGGATTTCGACTACGATCGCTACCGTGACAGGAGTCGCGAGCCGGACCGAAGTCGTGATCGACGTAGCCGATCCAGAGACAGAGGCTACAGTAAATACCACCGGGATCGCTCTCCGTACGCGAGAGGCAATGGACGTCGCGATCGAAGAGACAGTCGCAGTAAGGACCGCGGCCGGAACTATCGTAACGAACGCTCCGAGAGAGACCGGAGCCGGGACGGCCGGCGTAACGACCGGGACTCCGGAAAACGTCTCATGGAGAAGCGGTCCCGATCCCGGGAGCGTCCGAGAGACGCTAAGGGTACTCCTCGGTCTCGGTCCCGGTCGCCAGCGGAGCGCAAGTCCGAGAATCTGGCGTCTTTCTGCGACTGGCGACAACACATTTCGTCGTCCGGAAAAACGTTTTACTACAACAGTGTGACAGAGGTTTCTCAGTGGGAGAAGCCCAAAGAATGGCTCGAATGGGAGAAACAAAAAGAAGCAAAGGAAAATACTCCCCCTCCGCAAATCGTCAAAGTTGTAGAAGACGCTTCTCCAGTATCGGAAGATTCTCCAATATCATCAAGTGACGAAGAAGACGAAGGCCAAACACCCGAAACCCGCGATCCCGAGGAAACCACGATTCCTGAAACGAGTCCTCAGAAACCACAATTCCTACCCGGTTCGATCCCGTCCCGAGAACAGGTTCTACAAGATACTTCCCCGTTATCGGACGACGAGACAGGTGACGACGACGACGAAAACCGGAGTCCGAGCCCCACCTCGTCTCAGGCTGACCAAACCCCTCCCCGTCCAGACAGCAAAGCAGGGCAAGCGTCAACCTCGCAGACTACTACACTCCTGCCCCCTCCGGTGAAACCGATGACTCTGTCTCCTTCACTCGCTGCGTACTACAATGAGGTTCTCATCGCTCATATGACCCAATGGCAGGCAGACCACATCGAACGACAGGCGGAGAGGCTCCAGAAAGAGCTCTTCACCATCGGTAATGTTCAATCGTCGTCGATCTCCGCGGATTTGAAGATGGCTAGAAGCATGGTGAGACTGGCGGAAATCCAGGCGACTCTACAGGAACAGAGAGCATTGTTTTTGCAGCAGCAGATCGCTCAGCTCGAAGACAAAGCCTTCGTCACATCTCAGTCCAGTAATGGAGCATGACATTCCTCTCACGAGTATCTTTACGGATGACGACGAAAGTGAACAACTCAACGACGATGATATACACCTCCTGTGATGCAACAAACCTTTCTCAATGATTTTTAGAGCCCGCCATCATTATTATTATCGAGTAATTTGCAAGCTGGACGCCGAGGGGAGACGGAGAACATCGGGAACAAGAGATGATAGGGTATAACACCTCGGAAGCCATTGATTGATGCATCTAGCATTGGAAAAATCCATGAATCTACCACCGGACTGAGAAACTTATTGACGGATCAGAGCCGAATGAGAAGCCCGAGGAAGTACCCTGAGCGTTCCCGAACGATAGTGATTGTGTGTAAATAGCGCTGTACCATGAGAACAAAATAGTTCCTTTTTAATTCTGTATGAGTCCCTGTACATATGATACATCTCTTCATGGCCATTGTGTGAAGAATACATTATCAATTAGTTTCCTTTTTTCCTTGAAACCAGTCAGAAATGAATTTCGCGTTCGTCAAAAGCATACACCTACATAGTATTCCGGGGAGCATTGTCGCTCGCGTACGAGCTTGTACAATCGTCTGAAAATGTTGAGAGGAAAAGGATTTTCTATCAATCACCGGTAAAGTTTGAGACAAGTCGTCAGCAGAGCCGTAAGCACTAAGCTCAAATCGCGACGACCTCGAGAGATATCCAATAAAGTTGGAGGACTGAAAAAAAAACACTCGATTCTCTTCAATAAGTCAGGTTTATTACACAGAGTCAACATAGATCACGTACGAAATGCGGATATATCCAACTTCGACAACCACTCTGTGAAAGGTGGAGTGAAGTTGATAGACGAGAGGGGAGAGTCTGAGGTTTCGGGGAAGGAGCACCAGATGTTTGTGGGAAAAATAGCTGACAGACCAAAAGAGCTTTTCGTGATCGATTCTTTCCTTGAAGATCACTCCACGCGTAGCGAATCATCAAGTGTACGAACATGGTTAGCGGTAGAGAATAACACTACGACAGGTTAAAAATTTCCCCATTCCCATTGTTCAGCTTGGCACAGCGCTCGTCGAAGTTCCTCATTGCTCGTCCTTATCTTTCGCTCCATGCTTCAGAATCCGAGTAAACTCAATGTAATTGAAATTGCCCGATTTGTCGATTGGAGCTTCTCGGAACATCTCGTCCACCTGTAATTTGGGTGAATAATGATGATATGGCTCATGGATTAATTCAAATGGAGTACGCTGGGGATGTCTGAAGACGGCCAGAACAAATGCCTATCTACAAGGCGCGCCCGTGGGGGTCGAAGCCATCTTTTTCGAGGGGCTGAAGGTGTGGGGCAAGTCTGCAGCGCGCAGCCCACAAAGTAGGCAGGCCACACCGTCGCAGACCTTTCCCCTCCAAAAATTATCACCAACGTAAGTGGTTGTCGGGGTTTCAAACCCGAGCACAATTTTCCTTACGCTTAAGTTTTGGCACGAATGCTCAACAAGAGTCGATCGAGGTCAACCCCAGCTCATGAGCCTCCCAGTCGCCTTGAGATGTCGACTGAATTCTCAACTTCGCATGCAAAAGGAGCAGTGGCTCAAACGTCGACCACACCAGGATGTCGAGTGAGCTGAGATCCCGTTTTGTATAAGGAGGTCACAGTAATGCAATGGACGGGAGCCCCTAAAGCGCCGCAGCACAGAGGTCGAGCACGCTGGAAAGTCCCGACAAGGTGCTACCCATGTGACACGAGATTGGTTTTCGACACCGAAAGCTTGGATCGACAGCATTTCCAGGCATGACGGATATGCAATTGGGAGTCGATTCTTTCCGAAAATCGCGGGGTTTCAGACCCGACGCTTCGGCTGTGAGTGGTCGATATGATGACATGATGTCAGTGACAAGCGACAGAATGACTCACCTCTTCGTCTGTGAAACGGTCGCCCATCGATGTGAGTAACTCTCGTAGTTTGTCTTCGTTGACTTGTCCCGTTTGATCTTCGTCAAAACAAGCAAACGCGTTCCGTATCACTTCTTCTGGATCCGTTCCTTGCAACCTCTCCCCAAAGAGAGTAAGGAACATAGTGAAATTCAAGGGTCCGGGTGCTTCGTTCATCATTCCGTCGAGGTAAGCGTCATCAGGATCCTTGCCTAGGAAGTTCAGTTACATCAATGAGAAAGAGGATGGGACAGAGAGTCAAACGCACGATAGTCCCGAGCTCCTCGAGCTCTTGCACCTCGGCATTCCGACTTCGATCTTCAAGCAAGAAGTTGAAAGAAATTTCCAAGTTACCGAGAGAAGCCAGCATATCGTGGAGATCCTCTTTGCAAATGAAGCCGTCTCGGGTTTGGTCGATCATATTGAAGGCTTCTTTGAACTCCTAGGCATTCAGAGTTCAATTCGTTAATTTTTCCCTCGAAGAGAACGCTTTCGAGTGCTGGGCCTCCGACAGAATGGAGCCGACAGATCCGCGATTCTCGAGGAAACTCACCGAGATTTGCGCCTGGTCGAACATGGCGAACACATTCGAGGTGGCTCTCTGAGCCCTCTTCTTGGTTGGCGCACGACCCTTGGTTTTTCTGGACGCCATGTTCCCTCTGGAGGACGAGAAGATGAAACTTAGTTCGACTTAATTCCAGTTTATCCAGAGGAATGCTGAGTGAAGCTAGGCGTGACGAAGAACAACTTCACTCAATGGACGCCGTACCCCGATTACGCGGGATTCTGCCCAATCTCGACTGGTACAGCGCGAATATGCGCTCAAAGGTATCGCCGTAGAGCTTTAGTCGCTGTCAATGTCACACTCTCAGAACTTTTTGCCCCTATATGGCTTAAAAGAGAAAGGACAGCAGCCGCTAGCGGTGGTCGATATGTGTTCGCAGTATAGCTCTCGACGCGGCAGAACATTATGGAGCCGACTAGCGTCACAACGGCTGATGACTCAATATGAAGTGGGGACAGCAGGGATTGGTTCAACGGTTGAGCTTTCACGCGACCGATGAAAACTCACAACCGATCATGGGGATCTGAGGCAACATTGCCGTTCCCTCATCAGAGTCGGGACTCAATCGAGTCTCAGGGAATTGGCCCAAATGGCAGAGATATTCTCTGCCAATGTCATCCGAGATTCTCAAGTGGATGACGTCGAACGCAATCCAAATAAAGAGACATAGGCCATGATCCTTCTCCCTGACTCGTAATCTCACCACGAAATACAAGCAAAGCCCTCAAAACAGTCACGATATTCTGAGAATCCACAACGCGCGGTGGGCTCGAATCGAAAAGGGAAGCACACAAACCTTTGCAAATACAATAATCCGAGCTTCCACCAAGTGTGTTCGGCAGATCGGCAGCAGCAATCGGTGGACTGCTTCGTCGTCGTTCGCGTTGGGATTCGACGCTGGCACCTGGAGCTCTTTAGGGGCGCGGTCTACGATCCGCTCGCCTCGACAAGATACCAACTCGCGTTGGACGTCAAAAAATAGAAGAACTTGGAGGATTGAGCGGAGATTCGCATCTAATTCATCGCAGGCATCGAGATTGATCCAGATGGTCTCCGACCGGTCAGTCCCCTCTTTCCGGTGAATATTTAGCCAGGCGACTCCGTCAGCGAATCGGGGAGGCATTCGAGACACTCTACTGTCCGATTATGTTCCTCAAGATGGAAGAAAGGTTTCGAGCAGGGTGCTCCGAGAATTATTCCTTCAGGTTCCTTCGGGAAACTTGCAGCAGGTTGATCAACGATATCATTGTCTCGGAGGACAGAAGGAAGACGTGATTTTGAAACGGCGCAGAATGCGAGTTTTGGGGGCTCTCCGACAATCTTGCTGCTCCATGCAAGCGAAGACTCGCTGTTTCTCGGAACAATCCGCGAACGGACTTCGCGATTATTTATTGTAAGTCATTCCAGGCCAAATCGCTCAAAGGCATCGGATCTGAGCTGGGGCGAGGTTACGTGATAGGAAATCAGGCGTCCATCACTCCATTCTTTAGGATCCTTGTGAATTCTCGGTAATCGAAATTACCGGCTGAGTCGATCGGTGCGCCGCGGAACATTTCATCGACCTGTCGAAGATGGGGGCCGGAATTCAACGACGACTCATAGTCTTTCTGAATGTATCAGAGGTGTATATAAGTCCCTCTAGCGATGGATCAAGCAGCCCGCCTCGCAAAGTGTACTCTTTAGATAATGCATCTTCTTTGTGTGATTCAATCTCATCGATCCTTGATACCCGAGGAGCTCTCTGTTGTCGTTCCGACAGTCGATAAGTGCTCAAGCCACTATGAGTAAATATTGAGGCCGCGTTGTGGTAAAATTACCTCGTCGCTCGTGAATCGGTCACCCATCGATGTTAGAGATTCTCTTAGCAACTCCTCATTCACGAAGCCGGTGTGATCCGCGTCGAAACAAGCGAATGCATTGCGGATCACCTCCGCAGGATCTGTGCCCTTCAATCTTTCGCCGAAGAGGCCGAGGAACATCGTGAAGTTGATCGCTCCCGGAGCTTCCTTCATCATTCCGTCCACATAGGCTTGATTCGGCTGCATCCCTAGGAGACAGCATCGGTCTCTTTGATAAGCTTCCCTTAACACATTGTATCCGGGAGGGTACACATGAACTATTCAGTCTCCAAGATTTTAGCCTCGTCGGAAGAGCGACTCGGCGGAATGGAGGGATCTCATATCGCACATGCTCTCAGACAGGAAGCTGACCTAGAGTAACGAGCACATTCCGAAGATCTTCTTCGCAGATGAATCCGTCCCGCGACGGATCCATCATGTTGAACGCTTCTTTGAACTCCTGTGAAACGCATAATTATTCTCTGAGGACGATGGTCGATCCCAAGATCCAGGGTGAATCAGGGTCGTGATTTATGATGAAGGTCATGAGTACGTACCAGAATTTGATCCTGATCAAAAACCGAGAAAACGTTGGAGAGCGCTCTCTGAGACTGTTTGGTCTTTGAGGTAGAGCTCGTGACTCGTCGCAGAGCCATGGTACTCCTGGAATATGATAGGATGAGGTGGGCGCTGTGTTTCACCAAGATACAATTCGAGGTCGCGGGGAGCTTCTCTAAGCTATTCCTCAGGAGAACGCGTCAGGACGCTCTTGGCCCGCGGGACTTCGTATGCAAGGAGAAGCGGAAGAGAGATTTTCTGGCCTTGAGGTCCGGAGATGCGGATCTCCATCGTAGTCGCTGCGTCAGGTCGGGACTGTCTCGAAGACGAACACTGTCACGATTCTCACGCAAGGAGACTCCGTGGAGAATTTAGTCGATGGGGAGCCTACCTCTCCTCGCTTCCTAGCAGTACGATTCGGTCACGAAGGAACTGATCTATCGAGCTGGAGTCAAATCCGAACCTGACGAGATCGTCGAAGGGAAGACCGACACATGTAAAAAGTCGGAAGAACAATCAGCGGGAAGCCTTTAATACATGCAATGAGTCATCTTCATGTTCCTCGCGAACTTCATGAATCATGAGGTTCGCGCGGAACATCACCATCGCCCCGCATGATTTTGAAATCGCAAGGATCGTGAGTAGTGATCATTGATCAACATTGGGCAGAACGAGACCCTAGCGAAAAATATCGCTGCATGGACAAAAGTTCGCCGGGATATTATCGCCCGTGCCGAATGCTTGGCCGGTTCCTATTGATCGAATACCACAGATTCCTGGAAAGAGATCGACTCCGATGCGCGGTCCTGGTCCGGACCCGACGAACGTGGGAATCTCGGTGAGATATCGTCCTGGGATCCGGAGATCGAGTAGTCTGAAGCCGCGCTCTGGAGCACACGCGTGTACTGCTCACCTAGTTCAGGCGGAAAAGCTTCTGAAGCCTGACACTGGAAGAAGTTCACGAACGGATGCTCCCTTCTAATGAATTGATGGTATCTTTGCTTTTCGAATCTGAGTCGCGACCGCATGAGCCTGACGGGGATTTTCGAAGGGAACTTCTGATGAAGAATTCCACGGAGTTCCATACCAGAACTCACAGTAGTTCGGTGAGACGCGGCGTACCCCCAGCCACTCGAAACAGTCTCGTTGCCGATGGAGTCCCGGGACAGCTCGAAGCAGCTCTGAATGATATTTTTATATGGGAATTTTACTCAGGGAAGCTGCAGACGGTTATCCCGTGCAATCATGTGGCCACAGAGGTCTTACAAGGTGAAACGTTGGTTCATCTTCACCATCCCTCTTCGACAGCAGAGTTGAGCCTCATGGGAAGCGGCATCACGGGAAGCGATTTCCAAGTAGAGTGCTGCCACGTGGGTGTGAGGTACAGAAGCTCGCGGTTTCCACAAAATTCCAGTTGGACCCAACAAAACCGGCCATCCCGTCAGATTGACCCTGCTCCTTTTTGATTGCCTACCACATCAGTGTCACTGTCATCCTTGGGCCAAGAGCCGGGCCGGAATCGTCCGGGTCCGATCGCGGCCGACAAGACGGGTTCAATAATTCTATCGAGTACATATTCCTAAATATTGTGTCCCGGCTCAGTGGTGCCCAAGCTTGATCGAGTCCGACAGGCTTCACGGCACTTCTCGGAGCTGTCTCGGAATCCTATTCCCCTGAGAGAGGGTTCGGGAAGGATCCGGAGGATGTGGGCTCGACGACTATTAGAGAGAAAGGTTAGAACTATCTGTGCTTTCGATGTAGCCGTCTCGCTTGAGTTGAGAGTCTATTGTGGACTTCGATGCCCCGGAGATGTCTCGATATTTGAATCATTTTGCTTCTAAGGTGTGTGCACAGCTGAGAGCCAAACTCCGATGATGATAGGGTAGTCGTCATCCATAAAAGCATTCCGAGACTATTCCGCGGCGGAGCTCATCAGACGAAATTTTGAACTTCGGAAGCCCTGAGACTCGGGCGAGCTGCATGGAAACGCGGTCTGAAAACTCGCGGTTACAGATATGGAGAAAGGTCCGGACGACCGGTGCACATAGTTTTACTCGATTTCTCTCGGAGGCTGGGACTAATAGGTCCAATCGATGATTATGAATCATGAGGTTCGAGATAACAAGCTCGGGGCTCGTGGCTCTCGGGATTTTTGTCCACACGTCAGAGAATTCAATCACGACCCGACTCGAATCGATGTGCATTAGTCATCCGGAGCTCCATATGGGTCGCTTCAACCGGTCGCCGGTCTCCCGATGCTCTTGTCGAGGTATTATTTCATTCTTCGTCAAGAATCTCCGATTTCTGGCAGCTCACGGCCCTTCATAGATAGAAGCATAGGTCCTGGTACCGACGGAACGATACCGCGGTCACAATCGCTCAGGCACTGCTGTAAGCTTTGTAATTCTGCATAGTTCTTGACACCGCGCATCCCCACAGAGTCCGGGCAGTCAGGCCTCGGATTGAGTTTTATCAGCGAGGGATGTTGGCGGGTTGTCGAATCGCATTCAGCCGCGGAGTAGCCGGAAGAATCGATACACCTAAGGTTCCGGACAGGTTTTCGGGCAGACTCGAGCACTGCCGTCCGCGGGTGCCTTGTTCCGCAAGCCATTGCTTTGCTCAAATGTCAAGGGCCGGAATTCGAATGAGGGGACGCTTCGCCAAGTGCGGAAAAGCCACCTACAGTCTGGTGAGCGGAAGGTTGAATTACCTCCAGATGACACCCTTCCAGCATAAGCACCAATGACCACGGATTTTCTCGATCGAAGTACTTGGAATGAGGCCCCTGAATTCAAGCTATGCGTTTCCAAGACCTACATGATCCGGCCTGCATTTTTTTCATCCTACTTTCAGATGGATCTGCACAACTCACTTCATATGGCTATATTTCATACGAGAAAATGCTTCAACTCACATCAGGGACCTTATCAAGCTGGCGGGCATGGACATTGAGGGGGAGCGCGTCCCTGCAAGAGTCTACCGGCAAGGAGATCGAATCCGAAGACCGGGCCAGAAGCGTTGCTATCTTCAGGAGCGATGACAGAAGTATCCGGTGTTGAGGCTTGAGTAGCAGTTGCAGAGCGTTATCGTGGCGTACAGTGATGAGTGATGAGAAACTGGAACAGCCGGCTCCGAGGTACATCTGGACATATTTTACAAGGGAGTGGAGCAGGAGGTTCGAAAATTCGGGGAAGCAGGACGAAGCAATGAGAGGAGGGATGTCCTGAAAACCAAGCCTTCGGAAGCGGGTACTGACCGCGGTCGGCACCTATAACAATCGGAGTGTTAGTATCCTACTCGCCTCGGCGATCGCACGGATGCTTGCGACTCGGAGTTACAACAGGAAGCTCCCAAATATCCGACCATACTGTTGTGATGTAGAGGAGCTCCGTACAAAAATGGAACGGGTAGTGCTCAAGCACTATCGATTGGATGGCGTGACAATGTCCATCGTTTACCGTGCGCACCGCACATTTCTTAAGGGTGTCCGTCCTGGATGCGGAGTCGGAGAATATTCATGGCCATATAAAGCACGTGTTGAGGTGTCACACCTCGTCGATCACAGCGTCGGATCTCAGACTTGGACATGCTGTACGCAGTGGCGCAGAACTTTTCCGCTGCAATCGACCGTGTGTTTCGACCGAATCCGAGATATATCGCCGGGAAGGACAACTCCTCGGCAAAGGGGTCATAAATCAGGCTCTCCGGTTTTCGACGTTGACCCGGAATTATGTTCAGAGAGTGTTCCTCATTCCATGTCATCGTGTGTTGCCGCGAGTTAATTAACTCTTACTCTGAAGCGGTACTCGCGTCCTTGTTCTCAACTGGATCGTAGGGCGGCCCGTCGATTCCCGTGCTCGTTTCGGTTTTCTGAATTGCGGACCAATTGATGGTGATATTGTAGTGCCTATCCAGCGGCTGTTGCACCAAGTATTCCTACCGAGTAATAATCGTCGATTTTTTACGAAGCCAATGATTGCATCATGAATAAGTCTAATCCGCCACACTACAGAAATCCCATAGCTCAACAATGACTAGGGGATCCTAGCGCCAATCGCGGGGGAGAGTTGAGCAAACATTGCGGATCCCCCGCTCCGACCGAATCTTCAGGAAAACTCCCTCCCTGATGGCTTCGCAAAATGAAATGAGTTGCGCCGAAGACGGCGCTTGTCGTCGCCTGTGCCGGGCAAGCATTTGTGGTCAATCGAGTGCCTACGTACAGAATAAAGCAATTATTTATGCAAGAATCGAATGATTTCACAGGGTTGCATGAATCAAGTTGAATGAAGAGGTCTGGGACTCCAAGCGGCTCCAAAATCGTGAAGGAGTCTTTGCCGTAAATTCCTAGTCCATGGTGGGAGCCGTGGAATTCTAGGTGCTCGGGAAGCGAAATTACGGAGCGTCAAAAGCGGATCACTTTCGCGACGCTGAGGATGAAGTACCCCTGGTCTGTATGCCCAATAAACTTAAAGACGTTTCCACGTCGAAATGTGGCTCCAGAAGCTCCTGGCCCGCGGATTGCCGCGAAATGAGGAATTACTCGAGCGATTGGAGAGCACGCCTGCGCCTGTCCGACGAACAGTTCGACGAGAGTACTGGCAACAGACTTTCACCAGGAGGCTCATCACTGATAAGGCGAACTATGAGAAGAGAAAGCTTGGTCTACGTCTTCGCTGAAGGAGCTCTTTGGCTGAGAGGAAGGGGTAGTCGTCAAGATCGCGCTGTTCTTCGGAGGAGCTTCGTGGTTCTCCGCGAGGGGGTTAGGAAGCCCAAGAAATTGTAGACGATGCTTCGCACGACTCACGGGCTGGAACGGGCTTCGCGCAAACTCGGCACCAGAGGCTCTTCAATCGCGGACGTCTGCGCGAGCACTCGGGAGAAGCGCTGGAGGCGGTCCAAACAACGATGCGCGACGCATCGTCAATTTGCCCCAAGAACGACGATAGTTCCTACAAGTCCCCCGAAATAGACGCCAAGCTTTGCGAGGATATCGGGTGTCCCGTCGGCCTCGCCCATCCTGCTGCCGGATTGGTCGCATTGTGTACATGGCAGACCTTCATGTTTAAGAAAGGATCTTATCGGTACACTTTGCATGCTGAGTCGCGTCCTCCGGATCCCGCGCCGATTTAAAACCGAATGATTCGATAGACAGCTGCTTGGACGAGTGGACAGGTTCCACGAAGATCGGAAAGGTATTTCGCCAAGACTCGGGAGAAGAAGAAAGATAGCGTCAAGAGAGGCAAGTATCTGAGAATTTTCCATCATCACTATCATATATGTACATTCTAAAACTAGGCGTGCCCCATTCCATCATACGTTCTACACTTCGCATAAGAAACATATCGGAACGTACGTGAGCAGAACTTAGCACTTCGAACATATTGAGAGTCACGTCGCTTTTCTCCCGCGAGAATAAGCATCGTTCGACGTGAGTTCTGTGTTCATCAAACCATAACTGCATCCCATCGTGTTGATATGTATCCAGACTCTCTCCAGACATTTCGGATCGAAAATCAGTGAAAGCCAGTCTCCCTCGTTGGGGAGCTCTCGAACGACGATTGGTCATTTTGGATTCAGAACGGCATGATGACACACCGTGGACTATTCATGGTCGGTTCTGCACAGAATACGACTCCGGGTGATCGCTGGGCTTCCGCCTCCCTTTTTGTATAAAGGGGAAACGCGATTTATCAGATTACGAAACTTGTGGACAGATCGCTTCAGCGAAGGCGTACTGGCAGACCGACCGAATTCAGTGCACTCTCGCATGAGGAGGGGTTCACAGATGTGGAGGGCGTGAATTTCGGTGGGATCGAGTTCCGACCTCGGACGTCATTAGTCACTATATCATCAGTTCTTTCCTTCGACTCTGACTATGACGGGTTTGGAAGCGTCGAGCTCCTCCTGTCCGTCGTTCGAGGACCACTCTCGGGGACGAACGCCGGTAGCCCGAATGCGAAGTTTGTCTGGAAGTTCGCGATTCCGGAGGTGAGGTAGGATTGTCGAAATGTAGAGGTTTTCTCACCGAGGTCAACTGGTTCTTTGCTTATTGAATTTTTTTGCGCCCGTCGCGTCTGAGTTAGAGAAAGTATTCAGTCGCTCGCGGAGCGGACGTCACGCATGGCATTTTCATTTGGGCGTCCTTATAAGTGTCATATCTAGAGGGGTTGCGGGACTGTTCGTCACGCATGCGCGGCTCCGCCCGTTGCGCCGCTTATAAAAGACAAGACGCGGGAAGCGAAAATCTCGGTCCTTCCTGAGCGCACGCAAGATTCACTTCGGGAGCGAGTCATTCGACGAATTTTCGACTGATTGCCTTCTGTGACACAGGGTGAGTGAACGAATTTTCTCCTCCGTCGAATTTATTCCTCTCAACTCAAAGTGGCAATTTGGTTCCGGAAAGACCCCTGAAGAACTCCCTCGTTCTCGTTACCTTTGAGGTACCATGAATACCGCCATGGTCCGGCATTCCCCATAGAAATCTCGTGGTTCTCATGACTCTGGCCAAGCTGCCGGCGTTTCAAGCACAAGTCTGAGGTTTTTGCGGATACGCGATCCTCCGCGGGAGTTTTGGGAGACTTTTGCCAAAAAACATTCGCACGCAAGACTCTCGGAACGATGTTACCACAGCCCGGCGAGATGACATTGAAACATTGTGCTCGACATCTTGCTCTAAATGAATGCGACCGGAGAAGGAGTCCAAGCTCACTATTGGTTGCCAACGCAAAGTGAAACCCCTCAGTCAGATTCTTTTGAGTTGGCAGATTCCAATGCAGCGTTGGGCTCGGAAGCTCGCTCGCTGATTCGATCCACTCCGGCAGTTGGAGCTCCGAAGGAGACAAATACTTGGTCCTCGTTGAGGAACGTTCTCTGCTTCTAAATTCGAGCATCGGAAGACGGAATTGTGACCGATCCGCCTTCCTTTAAGGCGGTCCAGCAGCATGGGTTGAACGCTCTGGGGTCGACTCACACTTAGGATTTCGGTCCATCTTGGGAAAAACTTCGAAAAATTGAGTTGTCTGGCGGAGGTTCGGGAAGAGCGAATCGTTAGGGTCCGTTGTTTCAAGCGCTGTGCGACTCTCGAGGATGTTGTAGCAACCGCTCGAACAGAGAACTTGCGCAATCCAGTCATGACATGGAAGAGCACTTTGTACAAATGATATTTAAAGGCGAACCGTGGGCGTTCTAACAAATGATGTGCGTCGTACGGGAAGCGAGTTCAGCGATTGATATCGTACTCTTGACGCGTCGCTGTGAGAACGATTACTTGCGATTCAAATGCAGGAGGGAGACTCGGATCTTCCCTCCGATAATCCCTATCCGAGTAAGAGGAAGTCTGGACCTGCATATTTGTCGGCAGCCGAAATCGAATCGTCGCTTTCGGGAAAATTCTCTCGATCCTCCACCGAGTCGCTCACGGGAAGTCAGACGCGAAGTCTGTGTCGATCGTCGCCCATCAGAAGAGTGGAATGCTCTCACTAGCTTGAGAAGCTGCTCGCGCTGATCGTGTATCTTGTCGACGGCGTCTCCCACGGAACATTCCTCCATACTCTCCAATGTCCCCCTTGCGAGAGAATAGCGAAAATGCTTCACAATGAAATGCGCAGAGATTGGTCTCCGAAGTTCGAAATTTCGATGCGATCTTCGACTTCCGTCTACATGATAGATCTAGGCAACAGTGGGTGAAATGTTTAGAGACTGGTGCTGTTTGTTCCTGATCGGTGTACTGCCGATCTCGCGAGGGTCGATTTCGTACAGGGTTCCAAGAACTCATGACGGGAACTGGTTGTTTCGATGCAAACATCGTCCCCCTCTGTCCGGAACAGTAAACGCAATCGGTCACCCTGGGGCATAAGACGAATGTCAACTGTCACATCGGCCGGCTGTGCATCAAAGAACAAGCTCAACAACAGATGCTCGGAGCGGTCCGTTAGCTTCCGTCACGAGATGTTTTCGACTCTTCGAGTCGAAGATGAGAGAGCTCTCATAGATGCCCAATCTGCGAAGACCAATTCAGCTCGTCGGAAGCGCAGTCGTCGAGCAAGCGGATGCCGATCTTAGAATTCGGCTCGTATTGGAAGAAGAAGGCGGATCTGCCAGCTCAGGAGCTCCGATTTTCAGGGCCCCGTATCTCGTATCTGCGTCTGAATTGCAAGAGCCGAAATCGGAAAATGTCCGCGATTGACACTGACGAACGCATCGGATCTCCGTGAGCATTGATTTGGAGGGAATCCGACGCTGCGGTCAGAAGAATCGAGGTGGAAATGGGTATCGATCTGTGAAGAATGATCGCAACGCTTGCCGCGTCGAGACTACTTCTGAACCAACGTGACCCGTGATAGAGGGACACTGCCTCGATCGCCCGATTTCCGATCCCCTGATTCTCGATCGCCTGAGTAGTCAGAGGGACAGACGCAGGCGTATCGCATTATCCAAGGTTGGACCTGCGGCTAAAGCTGGGAATCGGGCTCCTCTGAGGATAATCAGAGAGAATCGAGACTTGACTACGGTCGCTCCTCTTCATCACAGAAGCTGGCCAGATCTGAATAAATCAAGCAAGCAAGCAAGCAAGCAAGCAAGCAAGCAAGCAAGCAAGCAAGCAAGCAAGCAAGCAAGCAAGCAAGCAAGCAAGCAAGCAAGCAAGCAAGCAAGCAAGCAAGCAAGCAAGCAAGCAAGCAAGCAAGCAAGCAAGCAAGCAAGCAAGCAAGCAAGCAAGCAAGCAAGCAACTAACTAAGCAACCTAGGCAAGGGAGCCCAGAGTCGCTCCAGCTAACTGGCCAACTTTGCGGAGATCCAGGAGCACGTTTTCCTGCCTGTGACTAAGGCTCAGGAGTTTTTTACGCTCTCAAAACTTTCGCCCAGCTGCCCGATGCACTGAACTTCCCGGGGAACGACCAACATCCTTACGTACAACGTCTGGAGAGCATACTCCGCGAAGCTTTGTATTCATATAGCACCTAAGTTGATCCGATTGCATCAAAAAACTAGATTGATACAGCGGTGTACATACATACCTCAAACTATGTAGCTTGATGTCATGATTACGGCCATGAGCGTGAGCAGGAGCTGGGAATCCAATCGTGAGTCTGACAATGCCTGCAAGACTTCCTGCAATATCCTGCAGGAATACGGCATGTATCTTGGAATATTCTGTCTTCACCACGCGAAGATCCCTCCGGTCCAGATCCATCGAAGGTATCACTCTATCAGAACCTCTTCTCGTCTCGAGTCTCTATTCGAACCCCGTCACGAGTCATTTGAGCTCGATGATAGATGGAGTAATGCACCTGAAGCCTCGTCGTCTGATCCGTCGATTTTGACTCGAAGGCGACTCTTGAATATTATCGAGACCGTCGATCTCCGCTCCCGGAGCAGGTATTCGACGGGAGGTCTCGACAGCTGAGCGTGGCAAGTTGCGTATACGTTTGTCTTGAGTGGGACCGGAGGATCGACCGATCGATCGAGAGAGAAATCGATTTGCGATGGTGTCTTCCCCTCGGAGCTTCCGTATTCTTCCGACGAGATTCCAGAGAAAAAACCCTCGATACATTAATCGCCGTCGATCGTGCCGAGCTTTGAATACTAGGAATCGTAACAGACCCCGGAAACCCGCTGTGTCGTCCGATTCCCTGATCGAAACAGCTTAGTTTCTCCAGACCTCCCTCCGCGAGCGTAAAATCCGCAACTGAGAACGATTCGTCCGCAATGGCACCAAAATATCTCGGCCGTGGCAATCACGGCCGGATTCCGATGGTAGAATTCCTCAGCGAGTCGTTCGTCTGAGAGGGGGCTAATTCGTAGCTTCCAAGTCGCCCTTGACCGGCGGGAACGATAGAAATCTAAACGAAAAATCACCCGAGTACTTTGCGATGGGCGGGGGAATGAGAGCTGGCCCTCCAGGCGAAGTCCACAGCGCGTCGAATTAATTAAACGCCGATGGTGAAAGTTCCAAAATTAGGAATGGAGTGCTCCGTCAGTCGCTCATGAGTGTTCCGCTCGAAAGCCGCAGTCCCTCCACGCACTCTCGACTAATGATTGAATGGCTTTTGTTTCATGAATGGGCGTGCTCATTCGACGGAGGAGAATTTGCCTCACGCCTAGTCCGATTCCCAGAGGTGGACTAGGGTCTTGTGCTCTGGTTCGATTCTACCTGCAAGCCCATCCACTCGGTTGTCGGAGTGGATGACGCGTCGAGCGCTTTTATCGATATCGTTCATTCGTCATTAGTACTGATGGCTTCGATTGACGCTGTTGTGGGGAGTCTGAGAGCCGAGTGAGAGTGCCGAGTCTGATGTCCTATTTTCTCTCCGGAGTTCTGAGCTCCGACTCGGAAATCTTCGGAACAGTCCTCAGATCCGGCGTCTTGTAGGCACAGTTAATATCAGCGACAGTTTTTAATATACTTGTCAAACTCCCTTGAGCCACTACTAGAAGCCGAGAGTTTGGATAATCTACCTCCACCACAAACACACACGCTCGACACGTTCCCATCGCTCCAAACTTTGCCGGAAAATCTTGAGCCCTCACTCGACTGCTGCGCGCAGAAACTCCGATGAGTGTTCACGATTCGAGCGGAATTCTGGAAGGTTCCTCCGTAGACATTGCGCGGTTGATCTTTGCTTTTCTATCAACGATGCGATCTAGCGGTATGGAAAATGCGGGCGGAGACGAAGAACAAATACAACGGAAATCGGAATCAGCTTCGCCTCGCGCAGGAGTCATCGGCCGCGAACTGGAGCCGAAGGGATATGCAGTGATACCGAATGTTCTTACGGGACAGCGAGTTTTCCGTGCTCCAACCAACAGCCCTCTGTCTGCTTGAGAGAACACGCAGTTGGCTAGATTGAACTCGACTTCGTTTGTGTGTCTTCTCCGCTAGTCAGCCCAGGTTGTATTTGTCGAGCAAGACAGTAGCATGACTCTCCCCGACGGGCCTGGGCAATCTCCCGGCCGATGCAGGAGGAGAAGTGGGAGCAACGTAGGAAGTTCACGTCCGCCATGAGCACGAATGTGTCGTCCGGGTCTCGCTCCGCAGGCGACTGAGTGAGATATGACTCGTTGGTCTGTTCGACTCTTTGCCCATCACCGTTGTTCCACTATTCCGGTCACAGAGCTGTATGGTTTGCTAACGTCTCACGTTTCTCATAAGGCACGGTATTGGATTATTTCATCCGTAGTGCTTGAATCAGATTATCTGTCGGGGACCTCCCAACGAGCACTTCCGGCGACGCAGAAGCCGAGGCCCGAGTTGGTCACTTCATCTTTCGCGCCTTTTATTTCCCTGTATGCCACGTGTTGTCTCATGCGGAGACCGAGCTCGATAGGAATCATTCGAGGCCATGATCTTTCCCAGATGTCCATATCGGGACTCACGGGGAAGAGGGGGGGAGAACTTGGAACCCTACGCTGAGTAGTAGAGAGTCTCTCCCATCGTGAAGTGACGTCAATCGCCTCTGGTGAAGACCCTCAAGATCATCCCGCGAATCAGCCGATGGTTCTCGATGATTTCCACCGATTGGCAATCGATGATAGTCTCACACAACCTCCCACGGTTTACTGATGACGATTTTCCGTGGACCCTTGGTTCGCGCGAACTCCAGGTCGAAATGTCGTAGGGGAAACCGCGTTCCGTGAAGCCAATTTAGATCTGTTTAATCTCGTGGCTGACTCTACTGCTCCCTGTGGAGTACTCGGGTCATTGTGAGGAGCCCAGGTTTTGTCCTTGCATAAAATTTTCACCCGAGCGTTTCCTCGCGCGGAATTCAAAAGCACGCGATCGCAAAGCTCGAGAAGCGGTTCGCGGAGTTGAGGGAAATAAAATGCTGAGACACGAAAACCAGAATCAGGAAGCAGGTGAAATCGTAACACGCCTGAACGAGAATAACGACGTTCAACGAGGAACATGGTCGTTACATGATAACGTGTGCTAAGGCTGGAAATTCGTGACAGATGCCGTTGTGATCTAGAGCTCCAATCAGGCTGTTTTCTTTTCCGAGCCCTGTTAGTCGAGCGTCCTGCATCAGGATGACAGCGTCTTATTTGTGCTCGGCAGCTGCATGCTCCCACGCTGATATATTCGAACGGCACCGACAACGAACATCGATCAAAAGGAGCCGGCAACCTCAGGATACTCAACGGAGAGCGGCGTTTACCGAGCATTCAATTGCGCGACCTCGCAGCGGAGCTCTACCCGGAAAGCATGTAGCGACTCGAGAGCTCCTGTCAGTTGTCACCGGGCTCGGCTGTCGGTAGAGGAGTCACAGGCACAGTCAGAAGCAAGCCGTATTTTGCGATGTCCCTCGAAAGATATCGTCCACGTTCCCTTGTGCTTATCATCCGATACGATCGACCCGAAACATCGGTCCGACACGGGTGTATTGCTACATCTGCAGCCTCTGCGATAGGAGCCGCTGGAGGATGCTAGTTTTGCGCCACTAGCAAACTCTGGGTTTGGCTGTTTTTTATTGATTGACCGCTCGTCCGACACCAGAGCGCCAAGACTCCCTGGCGGATATACATGGGGATGAATCCATGAATGAGTCCGATCGGCCGGCGAAGCCGCGGAGCAGATGACTACATCCTTCGCCCGGGCTTGCTGTCAGATTAACGATGGTCGTCCAAGTCAAGACACTTAGTCGGGAGCGTCGTCTTTTCAGCGTCTTTTCGGGTCCATGTTGGACGTTTATAGGCGTCCTTGCTCGTCCATGAGCTCCTTCCCCACATCAGTGATAAGACAGTAACGAATGGGACTGCTAGAAAGGAGTTTTTTTCCCCAGATGTCCACACTGCATTAGAGAACTAACGAATGATTTTTCAATTATGACGATCATGAATAACTCGATTGATGACGTCCGTATTTACCACCTGTGGTAAGAGTAACAGTGTTCCCACCTCCTATCGAACAAGGGGTCTCCGAACTTCCTTCTTCCCGTACCAGAGGCACTCGGCAATCTTTGCTGCGAAATCCCGGCTCTGACTTCGTGGAAAGGCTGAATCGTATTCGCAGCCCATTCTCAGGCTGGCGGTTTCGGAACACTCTCGCTCACACATGATAATTTGCTTATGAGCGACTCCCAATCCTGAGACATTCCACCCGGAAAATATTGACGCCCGACTTGACGGGAGGATCCCGGTCGGATCATCAGCGGCATGTCGATGGCAGACATGCGGAATCGGGATCGTGGGAAAAGGCAGCGTTACTCGGATAGGACTGGGTGCTACAAGACTCGGGGCGGATGCGGGTCAAACATCATCGCAAAACATCTCGCTCGAAACGATAAACACAAAGAACGCCTTCTGCTATTCCCAAGTTTCGCTCAGTCCGAAGACGACCGATGGTATCAGGTGTCGACTGAAAATTTAGGAGCATATTCCATATTATCACCATATGCTCGGCGCCTCTTCTTTTTACATTAGGGTGTGGGAGAGTTGTTCAACCCGAAGCTATCCTGGTTCTCGAGCAAGTCTTCCGATAATAACACGCAGGACGCGTGGGATGTCGCGGGGAAGGAGACGGACAGAAAATGTGTGACACAAAATTGATGGAGGCGAGGTGCTCAGCGAAATTGATCTTCGTCGCCGTGTTTCATCTCGAGCTTGTACTTCGCAAGAAAATTGAACATCTAGGAACAGCTTTTGCATAAAACAAGCAGGATCACTTTCGAAGATCAACTTTCTTGGAACAGTCTCATCTGCCTCCCCCCCCCCCTTTATATCTCCAGCCGCCGAATTCCGCTACCTCTTCAGTTGATGTCTACCCACAAGGGAGTCGATGTTGCATCGAAAACGATGAAAGTTCGACGGACTCTCCACGAAGAGCAGCCAGGTCACGCTTACGAGAGTCGTGTGTCGTCGCAATTTCTCGCCCAGGAGTGACAGGCGCTGCAACAGCAGCAAAGTCGCTGGCGCTCAAAAACTACCTCAGAACAAACCCGGTGCGGGTGACGTCCGGGAAGCTCGAATAAGCTTAGGATTAAGCTCCGTCAGCACTGATGGCGAGCAGCTCGCAGCGGCGCTCGCGCTGACTGAGTCTCAATTTGCCTGCGACATTCTCTCGTCCAGCCGCCCCGGAGTCAGCCCCCAAATTAGATGTAATGCACACGAAGCTATTAATCGGATGATCCGGGACGTCTCCGAGAGCCGACATGGTATTACGGGAGATTTCAGAAACAAGACCTATTAGAACAAAGAGCATGACCGAGGTGAGACTTCACAACTCGACTAATTAAGTCGGGCCGAGGGTCAGGTCGAAAGCAATACGCAACCGTTGCGTCACAAGTCACGAGCAATAGTAAAGAGGGTAGAGGTGGTAGATCCGGAGGTAGTTGAGGCAGTCTAATTCTGAGGAATTTGGAGAGGGCGGGTGCGGAGCCCTCTGGATTATTGTTCACTGCTCAGGCGCTATACGATTCGCTTTCCTTTCACAGAAAAGTCTTGAAAATGATGGACTTGGGCCGACTCATCGTGACTGCGTGCATGGCGACGATCCTCCTCGTCACGGTGGCTTTCGCCTCGCCTATCGGTAAGGATGTCGTCCGTGGAATCTTAATAATTCCCCGGCTCACCACAGATTCCTCCCGATATTCGTTTCCCGCCGTAATATTCGAAAACGGCCAATTAGGCTACCGTTCCGAACATCAATTAGGGATTTCTCGAAGGATCACAATTTATCCGATGACTACTCACTTTGGAAAAAAATGAGGGAACGGGAGAAGAATCCGAAATTTCCGTCACGAGATCCCACGCTCTGTAACAAGTCTGTCCCTTCGTGTAGAGTTCGAGGCGTCTGAAGGATCTCAAGGTTTCGAGAACGGAATGCAGAAGCGCTATTCCGAATTCCTCGGCGGACCCGGGAAAAGGGCGCTGGATAACATCGATGAGCCTGTCAAGAGGTAAAGTCACACAGGGTTTTGCATAATTGGAATAGGTTCCACTCAAGTGGGGGTTTTTAGAACGAGCTGGCTAAGAGGAGCTTCGGAGGAAAATCTACTCGTAGAAATTCGTTCACAATCTGTGAGAAGCTTCGCTACCATTGCCAGGTACTCGGAGTTCTTGGGCGGCCCTGGGAAACGTTATTCCGAATTTCTGGGAGGCCCCGGTAAGCGGAGTCGTCAGGAAAATCTCCGCAACATGGCCAAAGTCCGTGAGGCCATCCGAGTCATCATTGCTGGAGCGAGACCGCAGGACCTCGAAGACAGGAGATAAGCGAAGAAATTGGAACGTCATGAAAATTCCGAGGAGAGAAACATCAATAATAACTGATACGATGTTACTGTAATTCTACGAGAGTCTTCTGCCTTCAGCCCCCGGCGAAAAAATCAGCGGTGGTTCAGACCACTGTTATACGAGAGAGAGAGAAGGTCTCAGTTCAAGGATACTGGGGTCGCCAGCTTCGAACAATCTTCCTTGCCGTAATCTGTTTTTCCTCCCATTGAATCCGTTTTTCGCGAGCTAAAGACTGAGCAGTGAGACGAAGGAAAAAAGAAAAAAAATGGTTGATGAAACGGGAAATCTCTTCAAGTCCAACACCGTAGAGTAGAATTCCATAGACTAAAACGATCACGATGAGGTTTCGAAAAGCTTTAATCTGTAGAGTCCATGCTATCGCGACGTAGGATCACTTGAGATGCCGTCGGAGATACGAGAGAACGACTGAGCAATTGAGAAGATGCTCCTGATTCTAATCACATCGAGCAGGAATGGGAGCGTCCAATCAGAACAGAGAACCCAGGCGGGAGTTTTAGGAATCCGAGCTTTCACGAGTCAGTTGGTTGAGTCCGTCACGGAGAAATCCTCTGCATCCCCTCCAGCAGTTTTCTTGAGAATTCTTGGGCGTCCGGCGCTACACACCATTTTTCCCGATCAATGGTAGCAGCACAGTTACACAGCAGTGAGTGTAATTATATCAGAGTATCGAGCCTCAATTAATCGATCGTACTATCGACATGTTGACGATACGTAGCTTGCGGCTCTTACGACGACGATGAACAATGTCAAGTTCGAAGTTGATGATGATGATCTTCCCAGAGACGACGACGACAGCAGGAATCAGATCTTCAATTCTCTGCATAACTACATCAATGATGGACTGAATTTGATTTTTTAAAGAGACGATCATTTCCCCATCAAGAATCCCGACGAAGACGAGCAACCACAAAGCAATCGAGAACATCAATCACTGTAAAATAAATTTAAATCAGCAAAACAGTTCCAGCTTCATATATCTAGGTACATCCCCGAGGCCTACATGATATAGGGGTCCTGAGAAGCGTCCCTATTTTGCTCGTGATGAGTTGGAACGGAAGCGAGTCTCTCCACGGAGCTACGCGAATACACATACAATAGATCGTCATCGCCTCGTCATCCCGTAGCGAGGCAATCGTCAGCATATTGTATTTCTTTTTTCGGAAAATAGAAAGGTATCCCAGTCAGTCGCGGGTTGCAACTTGCCACTCACAGCTCCGAGAATTGCGGGGAATCGACTGCGAGCCTTCGCAGCCACAGGTCGTGCGTAGATGTCGACAAGCAAGAAGAGTCCAGCGAATTACGATCCAGCTCTCCCCACGCTCCAATACCAATATTTGGCTCCTATACCTGATGCACGCGACGGCAGCGTCGCGTCGTGAATGAATCCTTTCATGATCAGAGCTGTGCGCCATGGGATTTTCGTCGGCGGCGGCGGCGGGCTGGAAAACGGGCGGCGGCGGCGGGCGCCGCGGCGATTTTCGGCGGACCGATGAGCCCACGGCGCGCCGCGGGATAGGTGGAACGCACGTTCGAAAGTCTTTTGATTACGTCTCCTCATTTGTCGGGGATGAAATACTATCTGACACGTGCGATCTTCCGATGAATTCAAGTTTAATTGATCAGTCAGGGCTCTCAATGACCACGGAGCTTCGGTCCGAAACACCCCGTCTCATTCGATGCTATGTCCTCGCATCCTCGTGCGAGCTTAGTACCTCGAACCGAGTTTCCACTTTTTTTTCCCGTGGTTTTCTGTTACTTTTCATGAGGATTGGGCACGGCGCGCCGGCGTTCCGTCACGCCGTCGGACGCCGTGCTCGGGGTCCGGCGACGGCGGCGGACTCCAGAGGTCGGCGGCGGCGATCGCCGGCGAATTCGTGACGCGGCGCACAGCTCTGTTCATGATCGAAAGCGTTGTTGATCGACGCGGAGATGAGGACTTGGCCACGCAAGCTTCGGTGATTCCGCACTCGAGCTCTGGGGAGGACTGATCGAAAGTCGGCAGTGATCGCATGTCTTGGAATGTGTAGAAAAGTAGGCGCACAGGAATGCCTTCTCATGTATGCTGACCTCACTGTTCCAATCAGGACCGTTTTCGGATCGACAGACTGACTTGAGGGAAAAACTTGCAGCTTATCCTCGGGGAACCAATCCTGGAAGTCGTAGAGCTGCGATCGCCGCAGATGAGTCGGCGGACGATGAGGAAATCGGAGCAGGAAGACGATCAACTACTCAATAAACGACACTTCGTTACGCGATGATTTCTCACTCAGATTGAATGCATACACCGCCAGATCGCGTAGACGGAGGCGTCCCGCAGAGGGTTCGTGTACGCTCCCTCGTTTCCTGAGGATTCATACGTCCTTGCGCTCCACCATCCGATCGCGATCAACTTGCGCTACCCATCCCGGGGTCGACGACGTGCGGGAGATGATTCTTGGGACGAATCATTTCGTAAGCGACATCGAGAATTCCATGGGAAGTGAGTCGGAGAACAAGCCCTACGAATAGAACTATGCACGGATGTCAAACTTTGTCCCAAGATGCTCTCGTCTGTAATTGAATGCCGTGGGACAAAGAAGCACCAGGAACTTGGGACCCTAATTCTTGGAATGTAACTCTGCTACCAACAGCCGTAAATGAAGACGCCTGGCAGATCTGCGTGGAGGGTCAACAACCGCCAAGTTTAGACGGCCACACAGAGAAGGCGGAAATCAATTCTCGTTCTCCCAATCGATTCCATCGATTCTCGTTGGTCTATCTATAAATGACCGATTGCTGGAACGATAGGGTGCTCCCTGATGGGCTCCGGAGAAAATCCCGAGCATACTGCTTCTCGTTCCCAGACAGCAAGTCTATTCTGCCTTGAATAACGGAGGGCGTCCGGAGGAACTTCTAGATTCTGAAGATCTGAAAGAAGCTTGTCTGCGGGAGGTCAAGTCGTAGTTTCCAATGCTAATCAAGCGGCTCGATTTTCTCGTCAGTGTTCGAATGAGCAGCGGGAACGAGAGCAGCCGAACTAGGGAGTCGGTGCTGAGCTCTGGGAAATGAACTGGGAAATATCCCCTGAGCCGCCTTTCGCGGTCCCGATAACACGCATGGATGATCGAGAATCGCCTAATGAGCACCTCCTCAAAACACATAAGACCTTCAATAATTACACCAACACGTTGGGGGAACCCCCGTCGAGGGGGGACCCTCGTGATGAGTCGCAATGGATCGAGACCTAGAGCTGTGACGGCTCCGATAGACTTCAGACCCCGTCGTCGAGAAACTAGAATATCAGACAGTGGCACCGACTGCTTCCGTGACGTACTGAGTGAGCTGTATTTCAGCCCGGAGGATCCGACTTTCAGGCCGTCGCGCAGTCTTTCCGCCTGAATGCGTCCTCTCCTGCGACTCGAAGCTCAACGTCGCCTCCATCGCTCTTCCCCAAGATCACGTGTCTGGAATCCTTCCGACGAGGAGACCCAGGGCGAAATCCTGTTCATTCGACGATTCTGCTCCTTGATTGAACTTTCGCGTCTCGAACAGGAGGTCGATCATGAACGAGATCAGGCAGGGATTCTCACATGACTTCATTATCCTGTATCGACATACGAGAAGCGGGAGGGGCGAGTAGGTTCGCATCATGGCGGGCTCACGTTAGCTGGTGGGTGCAGCATGCGTGTCTCTGGAGTGATGATCATGATTCCGCTCTGCGAGATACTCACTGATTCTTATGCGGAAACGGTCAGAGTCGGAAGGACAGAGACTTTCCGAGACCGCTACGGAGCTAAAGGCGGAGGAAACTATGTTGCGGTTCGCTTGGGCTCCCGTTTATTCCACAGGAAAATTTCATCCGGAAGGATCGTCGGCTGGAACATTCCTCGACAGTGGTTTTCGGCCTCCCCAATCGGGCGCGCTCAGGTGCTGTTTTGGCAGCTCGGTCGAATTTCGCGCAAGTTATCGCCCAAGCTAGTTGTGCCCCTTCCAGAGATAATTCATGTCACAAGTATGGTCGGATCGAATCAAGAGCTTTGCTGCAATGAGGAAAATACCGTGCGACTGTTTTGTTCCTCCTTTCCAATCCAAAACGAATGTCCAGAAGTCGGGCGAGAGCAGCCGTGGGGGATTGGCACGGAACGATGCCAGCATGTAAAAATAGAGATGCTCTCTACGCTCACAGAAGCCGATGAACACGTTCTACTACTTGAACGCGAGATTGCGGACTATTTTCAAACCATTTTTGAGTTCCCCATCAAGAAAACACCCCGCAGATTCATCAGTTACCGCTCAGAATGTCGGCCGCGTGGGACTCGCGACTCTTATGCATTCTGTGCGCGCATCGAGAATCGAGGTAGATGCTTCTCCTGAGCTCCGAGAAAAAATCCTGCTCGAACATTCGCGTAACCTCGTGAAGCAGGTAATCTCCGGTTGCTGTCGCGACTTGGAAGCGACTTCATTCTATGACGTCACGGGAGGAAGTCAAGAAAACTCCGAAAATCATCGATCACAACCGGCCGAAATGCCTCCCTCGTGCTCGGAGCGTGAAAAGTCTCCTCGGCTTCCAAGAGGTTCTCACGACGGAGACTGCGGGGCTAATTTTGAAGCAAAGAAACTCTTCGACGTGAAGGCAAACACAGAAAGTAGTGATCCTCGGCGGAACGTCACTCAACTTCGGGGCGTCTGTTGTACATAGTTTCTCAAATGGTTGTACAGGAGCGCCACATTCGAAAAGCAAATCGTGGGTTGTGCTCAGGGCGGTGAAGGCGCACGCATCTCGAAGCCAGCAGGCTGAGTTATCTCCCGGATCTGCTCATAGAAGAATTCCCCTTCCTACCACGTCTTAGCCTCGATACACAGTACTCTCAGATTTACGTGAGGCATCATCAATTCCATCCTATTCACGAATCGGGAATAAGCTTCCATGGAATGGTGAGAATGCTCAACGCTCGCTAGAAAGAACGGCTCGTGTCCGACTTCCGGCACGGCCCGTCGGCGACGCTGTGGTCTTTCACGGGATTTTGTGACGATCCCCCCTGAAGAATCTTTGGGATCCACAAAACTCCATGAATTCTCGGCTAGAATTCATTCACGGGAGTCGAGCCCTAATCATAGCCATTAAAATGGCTCCGATGTGGTCTACGCAGTTTTTCTCGAGCTGACCGGTGCCGGCGGTGGCGTCACCCCTGTGTGATCGGTTCCGCCGCTATTGATCGAAGAAGCTTCTCATCGCACTTCTGTATTGCAAACCGGTTGTGGTTCGTGACGTGGGGAGGCTACTCAGCTCGGAGCCTGGAATGTCGATTGTTAGAGCTCCGACGTCCCTCGCTCTCTTGAAGTCATCTCCGCTGAAAACCAGGCAATAGTTCTCACCCTCGCAATCGGATACTGAGAATCGATTTGCTTCAAAGGAGATGGAGCTCCAAGCCTGCACTGCAGTGAATCGACGATCGGCTTCAGCGAATTAAATGCTCTCTGGCAATGAGCTTCAACGCCCATGCGAGAAACATGGGTTGCTATGGAATTTTTGTTAGAGAAGTATTCAATGCACCGCACCGGGTTGCTGCTCGTGGGGCGAATGTGCCCGACCTCCGTGGCTCAATATCATTAACCTGATAAGATTTCAGAGGACGATGCACTCTCCGAAACAGGATGACGCGAAATCGAGAAAAGGATGAGAGGGAGAGCCGAAACATGTATTTATTGAAGCTCGAGGAGACTAAAAGAGCACTGTCTTAGTCTGATCAGTCCTGTCGCAACTCCTCATCCGGTTCCGAAACCACCAGTTCAAAGTGTGATCTTCTTCGAGCCCGGACTTCGAAAACGACGTTGGAAGAGTGCTCGACTCTCGCGGAACGATGGCGAAACTCCATGCTGTCATTCTAGTGAATTTGGTTCTTTGTCTCGCCAATGTTCCCGGGTCGAAGGCTCAGACCGAACACGAAGAATCAGAAGCATTGGCTGAAGCGGCCGTCAGGGAACTGTTCAAAGAGATCATGAACCGCGCAGCGTCCGCCGCAGTCAATGCGTTCAGCGACACATTGGAAGCTCCCTACCAAGCCGCGGATACCCTTCTACACTGGATCGATCCGGAAGCGCAACTCCAAGGTGTGACCCCAGAAGGGGTTAGAATCCTCTCGGGCACCGCGGTGGTCGGGTTAGCTTCTAGGATCCTCGACGCGGATCTGCTCGCGTATGCGATGAGAATGGTTAAAATTGAAAAAAAGTGTCGGGCTGCGGTGGTCTGTCAACTTGGATCGTTCATCGTCCACAGTAATAGATCTCTCCAACCGATTCTGGTTCAGATGCTGAAATCATTATTCAGTACAACTTCGGAACACTGGGTCGCAATGAGAAAAGGCTTGCGGGGAGCCAATTGTCATGCGAAGTATCCTTCGTGCGAAAGGGAGATCTTCATGCGGAGATGAGTCAATCCAGGCTTCTGACCTGGAACAAGCAAGAGAACGTCGTGAAACACTGGAGTCTCCCGGATCACCGAAGTCCCCTGATGAAAAGTTCAAATAAACCTCGGACGAGATTATCCCAACCCGTATCACTCAATAGTAATTTAATTACGCTGAGGCTTAGATCCTCACATTGCCGCTCTCTGCGAGTAGCAGCCCCATTATCGGAATCGATTTGTTCTAGACAGTGTGATGAGGGTCCGAGCCCCGGGCGATGAGACCTCTAGGTAGAGCGATTGGGTCGGTTCCGATCACCGCCGTTCAATCACCGAGCCTTCCTCCTCAGAAATAATTTGAGTTTGCGAGATTGAGATACAAGTTACACGCCACCCATCGGGTATGGTTCAGCCTCACGAATGCAAAATAATAACAGCTAACTGATGAGAGCTCTCTAATACTGTAAGGAACAACGGGGATCGCCCAAAGGTTCTCAACAAAGAACCCACATTCCGAAGAGGCGTCCCACCTCAAGTCCGGAGTTTCACGTTGGACCCCATGTTCCCATCACTACGCTTGCGATGGGCGAGGCTTTTTGCGGAGCCGAGTCAGCTTCTCATCTCACCGCATTGTGATCGGGCCAAGATTCGCGGAATTCGCATGCAAGGAGGTTGCGCGAGTGACTCCCTTCGGAGTTGCTCAATCTCTCCCAGGCTACACCCTCCACTTCAGATTTTGACAGTGTCGGGAGCCTCCCTGGCACTCCACCATTCTCGAATTCCAGCCGATGACAGGATATTCCGGGTGAATTTGTCTGAATTTCTCGGACCGACACACTCCTAAGTCACGGCAGAGAGCTCAGATTTGAACTAAACAACTCTGTCTGTCCTCAGAAGATCGCTTAGGTCAGACCTCTGAAACGCCGAGCCAAACGCCATCGCTCGGGAGAGAAATATTTCTTGGAGGTTTCCCTCTGACCATTCGTCGAGGAGAAGTCGTCAACGGCGCTCCGAGAAAGCATGTATCCCTCGGTATTCACTTAGGCCGATACGGTAGATCAGGGTGTTCAGAAGGTTCCTATCCTTCCGATGGTCATTACATCCGCGGTGTCTGTGGTGACCTCTGGTATCCAACGGTATCAGAGCCGAGCCCTCATGCAGACGTTGGCTGAATCCACGGGCCCACGCGAATTCGAGCCTTTCATACGCCACAACCTTTCAGCATTTGCTTTCGAAACGCATGATTCTTTTCAGTTGAAATCTCCAGGAAATATGGAATTTATAAGTTATCGGTACGCCGACGGGGCGGGGGGGAAGGGGGGGGGGAGGGCGCAGTTCATGGCTCGGAAATCATCTGCCTTAGCAGGGTTGATGAGCGCTCACAAGATCTCCTAATGAAATCCTAATTCGAGTTCAAAAATGATCAGAAGGATCAGCGTGCCTGGTCTCAAGTTCGCGTTCCATTCGAGCGATCATCAGCTCTTCGTGTATGCACTCTCGGTTTATGTAGGCGTCTCCTTGGCAACGGCTCAATGACAAGCGACTTCCTCCCGGGCGGATGGAGAGATGAAAATTTCAAGTTCGAGAAAAGGACCGAAGCCCCTCGAAGATGTTTTTGGGTTTGAGGGGTTTCGCGTTCAGCATTTTCGTTTTGCAAATCAGCGCACAGCTGCGCGACCAACTACGATTCGTGACCGTGGAGACCTGCGCGGGCAACGGGACTGTGTTCGACGCGTCCAGAGTGACTTGTAGTCCGTGCCCTGCGAACTCGACATCGTTCAGGGGCCATAGCTGCGTTTGCAAGTCGGGTTACATCGAGACCAAGAGATCCAACTACCGTCAAGTGGAATGCAAACGCTGTCCCGAGGGCCAGACATCGTCACTGAGTCGGAATCGATGCCTAAACTGCACGGCTGACAGCTGCAGCCGGTGCGCTGTCGGTGGCGCTCTCGTGGAAAACGAGTTTTCCGTGGAATGTGTTCAGTGCGTGAACCATACGCATCTCCCGGAATGTTCGGCTTGGGAACGCCGCCAAACGCTCGTGACTGACACGGATCCGGACTATCCGTCGTACAATGAGAACTCAGAATTTATTCTGCGCAAGATAACGAAAGCCTACGAAAAATGCGACTCCGGAGAAGACTGTGGTCTCCTGGCGAACCTGTGCGTGCTTTCACACTATCGAATGTCTCTCAGCCAAGAGTCGCTGTGCACCTTGTATCTGAAACGAATGCCCACCCTCGGTCAGCGGGGTCCAAACAACGGCCCGTGGATCTACTACGACGAAGAAACGCAGCAAACGCTGTACAAGACGAACCTGCCAAATAAGTTCACCCTGAATCCTTCGAAGAACAGCTCGTTCTTGGTGTTCCATGGGATCATGTTCGACGACTCCGGTAATTTCGTCAAGGACGGCGACCTCTCGATTCGAGAACTGCTCCCATGCGGCCAAATTCCAGTCCGGCTTCCGTTTGCTGCCAACGTGGACGTAACCTGCAAGATCACAGCCAAAGAACTCAGCGATCACCCATTATATTTCGTGGACGTATATCTCGTGAACCAACAAAAGCAGACCATCTACCCAATCCCGATACTGCTTCGGAATCTCTACAAGAACGGAATAGCCATAAACAAGCCCGGCAGGCTCGAGTCCCAGTGGCAGCTCACGAGACGCCTGTTCACTGTCGACTCTCTGTCGATACCGGGAAGTATCCGATACCTGAAGAGTGTTGATATCCGTGTCAGACTCCAGCCATGGTGGGACGGTAGGGAAGCCGGTAGCGCTTATCCCCCGCTGATCATCCTCAGCTACGGAAGAATTCCGAACACGTCAGAGGAAGAGATCAATTTGCGCTTCCGGGTACATTACGAGCAAATTCAATCGAAAACCTTCCAGGACATCTCCATCGCCATCGGCGTATTGAGCACATTGGTGGCGATGTGGGCTTGCATCCGGACTTGGGGCTGGGTGCGACGCAACGGCACCCAGTCTTTCGGAGCGATCGGAATTTATAAATTGCTGGCTTTTACTTGCGGAGGTCTGGCCGACGCTTTCCTGCTGGTTCTTCTATGCTCCTGTTTCAACTGGCTCGTCATGTTCAAGGCACAGGGTATAATCCATCTTCTGCTGCCGACGGCCGACCAGGAAACCGAAATCATCACGTACATAGCCGTCGCGCTGGCGCTGAAAGTTGTCGAGGTTGTCGACTCGATCGTGATGCAACAAAACTGGGACGTGTTTCTCGTCGACTGGGAACTCACCGAGGGTGCGACAGCTTGGAGGAGCTATCTCATCGCCGGAGAGTTCCTCAAACTCATCACGTACCGTCGAATCAATATCGGAAGTCTACTCCTCGTGATTCTGTTCATTCTGAAGGTCGCCAATGTGGAATCGCTTGCTCTTTCCTCCCCGGCGAGCGTACACATCTCAAGCAGCGTGACTCCCTTCAGCTCGACGTGTCGGCTGGGCCTGATCGCTCTGGTGTTCCTCGGCACCGCTTCGATCTACTATGTCTGCGTTCGCCTCGTGATCGAGCGTTTATTCGGGAACAGTCGGATGCAGCGCTTCGTCGACCTGTGCTCGATAGCCAACATCAGCTTGCTGACTCTCACGCATTCATGTTACGGGTATTATATACACGGCCGATCAGTTCTGGGCAAATCTGACGTCACCTTGTGGGAAATCTTGGATCAGCTACACAAAGAAGAAAACGATCTGTGTGCTCACCGCGGCCTCATCCCCGACACGGACGAGCAAACCTTCCGGATAAGCTTGTTGTCGCAATTGAAAGTCCAATACAACCGACTTCTGGAAGGGGCCAACGCGCCCCCACAGAGTATCGAACGTGTGGCGGCTTCGCATAAAGCCATCAATCGCTTCCTCGTGGCTTTTCTTCAACATGCCGTGAAGGATCTCGACTACGTTGTCAGGGATGCCATGGCGGTCGAAACATTCCTGGACGTCGAACTCAACGACGTTCATGATCGCTGCGTTTTCTACAAGGATCCAAACGGACGAACCCTGGAGTCATTGCTGTTCTCGAATTTCGAGAAGAACCTCCTCATGCTAGATCTACTGGTGCTCATTGTTTCGGATTGGGCTTCCCACGACCCCATACTCGCTTGCTGTCTCGTATACGCCGTAGATACGTTCATCTCTACCCTACGTACGGCGTTCCTTAAGCGGAACCTTGTCAAGAAATCTCTCATCGACTCGCGTTTCATAACAAAGTGAAGAAAGATTAATAAAAAAAAATGAAGATACCGCTTATCACGGCTGAGGTCTCTCTCCATCGATCTTAGGTCTCGACTCCATTTCCTCTCATTCGGATCCCGGCTCGTTGTCGTGGACCAGCAGTTCGTAGATCGGAAAAACGTTCCCATTCGTCTGCTCCGCAGTTCAAGTTCAAAACAGAAGATCGCGGAGATTCCCGACTTTTAAAGCTGTAATGTTTCGTTGAATCCCGCACGTCACGGACGAGGCCTTCAAGGTCCAATCCCAGGATGCGATTAACCCGGGGTTCACGCACGTCATCGAGCGAGAATGATGACCCACCTTGGGTCAAGATGACGAACTCTTGGGACCTGCTCTGGTCTGATCAATTAGCCAATGCGAAGCGTGGAAGACCGGATCCGAGTCGACCGGTGCTCGCCAGACGGGACAGTTCAGGTTCTCCTCCGTCATCCTCTCCCAGCTGTGGAAGTATCGGAGCATTGTTCACCCGGTAGGCGGGCCTGCCGGCCGGCCGGCCGGCAAGTGACTGTGAGGCGTCTCCTCGGCTAGGTTGCTGCGTAGAACGGGCTAGCAGCCAGGCGAACACAACGAGAAAGTGACTGCCTGACTATCTCGTGGGCCCAAGCCGCAGCATCCCGCACCCGTGGTCGCCGCCCGGCGTGGCCCGGATGGCTTGAGAGTACGAGACTAATCTCATGAGCAGGCGTTCCCTGAGTGGCGGTCCCTGCCATGAGCAACCAACGCAGGGGTGAGTCCAGTGTTTATTGTGTCGACCCACGGCTCTCGTCGTCGCTCGATGTACGGTAGACGTCTTTCCGCGTTGACGTTGCTCCCGCCGGCAAGCCGAAATTCGTCCCGACTCGAGCGCACGCCCTCGATCATTGAAGGTAGGCCGCGGAAACCCCCTCGCCCACCGCAACGCGCTTGTGATCCGGGATGTGATAGATCCGATATCCGATCAAGATGAGTCTCTACTACGGAGTAGACGAGTGCTTACGGCGTCAAGAATGTCGAGAGCTACGCCGTTTGCTCCCGTCACCAGTCTTTCTGGAAGACCGTGTCCGAGTACCACCATCCCGTGAAGGGACTTTTTTCGGGATCAAGTTCGATGCGCCGGAAAGTGCATTTTGCAGCTGTCGATAAACTCTGCCGCGGGTCGATCGTCAGGTAGCTCGGATAGTTGAGCCGCGACGACGATCCTTCGTCACGGTAGTTCCGACTCGGAGGGTCTCGTCTCGTGAGTTGATCACTCATCGCCAACGAGATGGTTCGGCCAAAAACCTACATAAAAATGCGTGCGATAAAAATGTCTCCGCTACACAGCGCTGTTGACTCGGCAATACTGGGTTCCAGAATGATTACTTCACACTTGACAAACATTCAGAGTCGGAGGAAAGGGTGTCCCCTTGAAGAATGGTCCGAGGCGGCGAGTCGCCCTCCTCCATTTGGCGCTGTCCGATGAGTGATATCTCGCTCGATCTACATCTTTTGCATCTCCCGACAGGATCTGCGAGCGATTCCCAAATCTCGGAGCATCTGCAGCCTGAGGAACGACCACCGTCGAGGTCGGGAAGCCGTCGTCCCTCGAAGCGACCGTCCAAGGTAAAATCCATGGGATTTTCCGCGATCGGCTTGAGCGATGGATCGCGACCTGTGCAAGCTCTCGAGTGAATCAAGCGAGGCATCAAGACTGATTTCTGCTTTCTTTTTCAAGGGAGGCGGCTCTCCGATGGCTCATAACCCCTCAATATCGGTAAGCGTTCCCGTGCAGGCGCCTCCCCCTCTGACGGATGCCCAGCTCCTAGAAGCCAAACTCCTCGCGGAGCGACACTTGAAGCCACGTCACACTGGATACGACACCAGTAAGTTGTACAGATTACTTTTCTTCCTCACGCGTCAAGACGATTCCCGGAAATGCTCTCGATATTGCGGAGCCGAATATGGTCAGGGAAGAAAAATCGAGTAAAAGAGGTCCGACGAAAATTCTCCAGCTCTAGTCTCCATGGATCAGACGTGAAAATCCACGTCCGACCGAGCAGAGGGACTGCTTGCTCTACCCGCAGTCAACGATGCATCCATGCCTGACAGGCAGGTACTCACTGCCATCATGGACAATGAGTCTCATTTCCGAACGCTTCTCATTTGTTCCGGCTGCGCAGAAAAAGTGGAAATCGAGGAATAGGCCTCCGCGCACGAAAACCTCAGCCCTTTCGTGCGGTGCTGACAGAGAGTTGTAGCTGTTGGCTCTCGCCGCCGTTGAGAGGCTGATTAGGTTTTGTCCGGAGCTGTCGTTTAGATTTTTTCTGTGGTGAGCAGAGAAGTAAGCGGGCGAACAGGCAGCCCGTTGAGAGCGGGTGAGCTAGTCGTAGCTCGAACGCATCAAACACGCCAGTCGAGCAAGTCTCTGCAGCTGCTCTAGGGACTTTGGGAAGCTAGAACGGCACGCAGACGAACGGGCTCGGCTTGTCGAGCTTTCTTTCCGTCAGGCTCGCTGCTTCTCTCCGGGAGGCTGGAACAGAGTCCTTTAGGGCCTCAGTTCCTCCTATCGCTCGGCTCACCAGGGCTCAGAACTGTTTATCCGTTGAATACTTCGAATTCTGGAAACAGGTCAACCGTCGACCTGACGATAGCGGTCTCGACGTTGTATCCCGGCGAATCAAGAAAGGTTTCTCAGCGAGATCTTGCTGCAGAGAAGTTGCGGCTCAGAGTGCGGGCTTCCAAACCCGCAGAGGAAAGGGGAAAAATGTAACGGGTGTGGAAATTCGCCTGAATCAAATTTATTATGAAGCGAAGGAATCGAATCGACCGAGGAAGGCGAGAGCTCTGAGCACTGGGTTCCCCCGTCCTGATCATGATTGTGGTGCAAGCTTGAGGCGAAGTCTGAACCTCTCCCGTGTAGAAATGGGCATGTCATGTCACGAGCGGGCACGGCACCAGAGCACCAGCACTGAGAGACACATAGAAGGGGAAGCTGGACGCACCGATCAGACTCTGTCAGTTGTCTCCGAGAACAAAGAACCCGATCGGAGTACTGCTGCAGCCTCCCATGCGGCTGATGCTCGGCGCTGAATCGATGTGTTATGTTATTGCCATCGGTCGGAAGAGCTGATGAGTCAGCGTCCGAGAATGAGATTCTCCGGAACCTGAGACTCGAGTATTCGGGATCTGCCGATGAGGAAGGAGAAGGGTTGAGGACATTCTTCCTACAAGCTCGAGTCATTGTCGGCAGCTCTGTTTCGAACATCGAGAGAAGTATTCCCATCGGGAACTCCGAAATCATGATCGTGTTCCTGATTTTCACCGGTGAAAAATAACTTCCTCTGTCTTTCAGATCCGGACGATGGCCATAATTCGCTGTGCATGTTCATTCTCACCGTGGTCTCGATATTTTTCATCGTCATCACGGCGCCGATTTCGCTCTTGATGTGTATAAAAATCGTACAGGAGTACGAGCGTTCGGTGATTTTCCGATTGGGCCGAATCCTCAAGGGAGGCGCCCGCGGACCAGGTCTCTTCTTCATAATCCCCTGCATTGACAACTATACGAAAGTCGATCTTCGAACTGTATCCTTCGATGTCCCTCCTCAAGAAGTGAGTATTATTCCTCGCACGAGCTCTGCATTTCTTGTCATCTCGGAGGACTCGTCCCCTCGTCGGGTAGGGGAAAGGGAGTCTCGTGCCGGTGCTGCAGAGCCTGAATTCTTGTTATTTCAGATCTTGACTCGCGACTCGGTGACGGTGGCTGTGGACGCGGTGGTGTACTATCGCATCCAACACGCCACCATCGCCGTGACGAACGTGGAAGACTACGGTCGTTCCACGAGGCTCCTGGCTGCCACAACACTACGGAACGTGCTCGGCACCAAGGACCTTTCTCAGATTCTCTCAGAACGAGAGTCTATTTCGCATATTATGCAACTCAGTCTCGACGACGCCACCGATTCGTGGGGTGTGAAGGTGGAGCGGGTAGAAATCAAAGACGTCAGGCTGCCCGTACAGATGCAGAGGGCGATGGCCGCCGAGGCCGAAGCGTCACGAGAGGCTCGAGCAAAGGTTCGAAAGAACGTTAATGATTTTCCCTTTGGGAACATTCGATTCCTGTTATTTGAACAAAACCCATGAAGCTAGAATGCGGGATGGATAAATTCAAAGAATATCGTAATTTCAGGTCATCGGCGCTGACGGAGAGAAGCTAGCGGCCCGATCGTTGAAAGAGGCCGCTGATATCATTTCGGAATCAAAGGGAGCCCTGCAACTCCGCTACCTGCAAACGCTGGCCAGCATCGCTGCTGAGAAGAATTCCACGATCGTCTTCCCACTGCCGCTTGAACTTTTCCGAGGTTTAAGTCGAACCGACGAAGAATAATTTAATATTTGAATAATGGGCCATTGCAAAAACATCGGTCTTATTGATTTAAAGCCGTGAGTCAGACATCACTTCATGGACACATGCGGAGTCGTAGGGGATTTCATTTCGTCGGATCATGAGTAAGGATGTGAATTTTTCGCGGACCGCGATTTTTCCGAGAATTTTCGCGGAAATATTCGGCTCTTCTCCATAGAGTTTCAATGGAGGTCGCGAATTTCCGCGAATTTGGCAAAAATTTTCCGCGAAAAAATTTCATCCGTAATCATGAGGGATTGCTCTCCGCTTCAATTTTCCGATATGACTTTCCTTTCCAAGTTGCCCAATAGTCTTCGAGGCGAACAGCTTCAAAAGCTGCAAAAGTAGAAGGCCGCCTCGCCTCCTGAAGATGAAGGTGTTCAGGATCAAGTGAGGTCCGTCGTCCTTGGGACGTCCATGACTGATCGATCACGTCCTCAGAAAAGCGTCATCCTGATGGTCATCTTACGATCTGGATTTCTTCTTGAATCGGGCCTTGCCCGTAGCGCAGGGGTCTTGACGCTATGCTCTCCTTCGAGTCGGAGCTGACTCCGCTCAGGAAGACCCGATCGCTTAGATGCGTGTTCTATCGGAACATGACCGGGAGTGTCTCGAAAAGCTGTATGAGACCCATCTTTATAGAAGCGGCCCTCTCGGTTTTGAGTTCACTCTTTCTCCATGTCTCCGATGCGGGCTGAGATTGACAGAGTCAACGCGCCTCGACAGGGCTTCCATATCTCAGTCAGACTGACTAATCGGTTGTTCGAGCCGGCTGGGTCTCGAGCTTCGCCTAGCGTGCTCGAAAAATTTCTTCGAGCGATTTCTATACTGGTCTCGCGCCGAAAGGACGAGCCCCTGCATCGCACCAAGGGAGAAAAACTTTGGGGAGGCCATGTCGATCAATAAAATCCGAGGATCGTAAGTCATTCGACGCCGACGCCTGCCGAACGTAGACAAGAACTAGCTAACCAACCAAATTCAATCTGCTTACAGGTCTCTTGAAGAGAGATACTGATTTGGCAAATTTATTGCCGCATCAAGCCGCGTCCTTCATGACACCGCCCGAAGTGACAGTGCAACAACCCGATGCAGAGGCAGCGCGGAACGTCGAAAGTCGGACCCAGCGATCTGCTCATCCATAGCTTCCCTCAGTCGATCGATAATACCCGACTGATCGATGATATTCAATCGAATCTTCAGCCTGGATCCGCGCGTCGGTTCCCGAGCTCCATCGGATCGTGTCGTTTGTGAATATTATGAGGCGCGCGTTCATTGTTTTGAATTCATAATCATTTCTTCTGGCCTACTCTTCCGCTTGTCTCGTTGGTGAAGGTGTGCATCTGTGTGTTTGTGTCGACAGTATGAGCTCTCTCTGAAGTAGAGTCAAGGATAGGAAGATGCAATATGGTTAATAAAAAGAAAGATATCGAGTGTCACAAGTTGTGAATGCTTTTATATATTCTTCTACATGATAGAAAGTTACATTCCTTGATCGAGCTTCTTTCTGTCGAGTAGGACATTAAAGTATCCGCGGAATGATCCATTGGATCGGTACCGGAATAAATAAGAGATATCTAGTCAAATTATACATCTGGGTAGGAACCCTTTGGTGCACAACCGATACGCAGTTCTCGTGATCGAGGTACCAGACGTTTGCAATACTGCTTCTGACAATACTTGTTGGTACATTCAGGCATTGAGGATTTCATGGGCTCGTGGTTCGAGGTGTGACCCTTCGAGGATACCTATGAGTGCAGTCACGAGCAAGCAACCAAGCGTTTGCTATCTTGGAGTTCGGTCATCGATCATCGACCGTGGTATTGGGTCATTGGTCGAATTTTTTCGCAGAAAACCTGATGATTCTTCTCCATTTCTTTCTGATAGTCTTTCTGCTCGACCGAGATCAGCGATCTATTCTTCTTCAGGGCGTCGCCGATCCGTTTCGAAAATTCTTTGAAACACAACCGCAGTCTGTTTTGGTGGAACGTCGGAGTTTTGCGACCGTCGAGATCCCCCAGGAAGACGTTGGCTACTTCGATCGGACCCTGGTTGACTTGGGTTCCGATGCTACCTTGCAAAACCATCTGTAGCATTTTCAGGTCGGACGGCTCCTGCTCGACGGCACTCTTCAATTCTCGATTTTTGCGTTCGATGTCTTCGATTGCAACCTCGATCGGCGTCAAAACGATTTGTTGCTTCTCGACAACCTGTATCCGAGTTTTGATGTAGGGGAATGCGTGACATGTAGTGAGTATTGTTTTACGCTTGTGCTGTTCCCACAGCTCCCCGTGAGCTCGTCCACTGGGAGTGAAGGGTGTGGCAAACATGAATCTCATGATTTTGTTGTTCTTTTCATACAAGGACGTACGGTCTTTCAACTCGTATAGCTCGAAATACGGCTCGACGTATGTGATCTGAATGTAGATCTTGTCGGGGTTGAGAACTCGAGTGTCGACAGCGTTCGAATCCTTTATGATTTCTACGAATTCCTCGCCGAAGCGACTCGCATAGAGCGTTTCTAGTCGGGAGGAGATCTCTGGCAGCTTGGTGAGACTTCGCTCTTTGTATATGAACTCTTCGCCGTCCATTTCGTTGAATTTGCTACCGTAGAATCCAACGCGGAAATAAGTGCCAAAATGACGCTTCTCGCCCATAGTGGACAAAAGCTGATATCCTTGACTGATCTTCTTATGGACCTCCTCGAGCTTCTTGTAGTCCTTGTGGGCCTCCAAGATCGGAATCGCTATTTTGTATATATGGCTGACGGATTCGAACTCTTGAGCTTCTCTGAAATTTTGGGCAGCCAGCTCAAGCAGTGAAACGAGTCCGTGCTCTGTGAAGTGCGCGCTCCGGATGTCTTCGTCGGGAGAAATGACGTCGTCAGACACGGCGCTCTCCTCCAGCACGTTCCAGGATAGATTCTGGGAAGGAAGGGAAACGAAACTCAGTATCCCTCTTATTCTGGGGAACCGTAATTTGGATTTGCCTTGGAAATCGCTCTCCTCCATCTAATTCTTGCGATCTCGTTGTGCTCGAAAAGGAGAACGATACGAACCTCGAAGGATGCGCAACCGACAGGTAGGTATTTCTTATGCTCAATGATGTGTAGATATTCTGCAACCAGAGCCGCTCCGTGGAAATGACAGTGAGCTGCTTCAGAGTAGTTGAATCGCTCAAGATGTTTGCCCGCCATGTTGGCCAGCCAGGTCAAGCGCAGGTCGGGTGAGTTTTGATAGCCTGTTGAGGGGAAATAGACGTCTAACTGTCTTCTCGGGTCATCGCGACATGTGTCAGCGGTCGACGAACCGACTCTCACCTCTCGCTATTCGATACATGAGATCCATGAGCATGTCCGGATCAGATTCACACTCCTTCATTTTCACAGTGTCCGAAAGAATCATATGGAGATTGAAGACCAAATCTCTCACCTAGAACAGAAAGAAGCGCGTAAGTGATCGGAACAGGAGTGGGGATTCGCTCGGCATGAGTGATAGTCTCCCACGAGATTCAAAGAATTCATTTCATCAAACAAAGCGCGGGTCGGGTTGAGAATCGAAGAATCGTACTTGGTCGGGGAATGTCGTGTCCTGTAGATCGGTATCGTTCTCCGCATAGAGCAGGAGCGTTTTCAGAGACCGGCGCAAGCATCGGTCACTGAAAGATGTTCTCCGACCGACCAAAGAGCTGAGGCTCATGGTGACTTGCATTTTGACACGAGCGAAGTTATTGCCGATCTCGAAGTTTTGCCTCATCAGTAAGTAGAGCGAACCAGCAGCTTGAGACCGAGTCATCGACATCCGAGACGAGCAGTGACGCAGAAGCAGGAGGCACAGCTCCGAGCAGTGTTCGGAGCTCTCTTCGTCGAAGAGCAATTCCGGAAATCGAGTCGCAAGGGATCTCTGCACTGCGAACACTGTGGGAAATAACACTCATTAGAGCATCGGCTTCCCATCTCGCCGTTTGCCCAGGGGAACCTGTCTGGCCGCATCCATTTTCAGAATCCTAATACAGAATTTATTTTCAACAAACCCTTCTGGAGCACCAGCGCCGACTGGTTGCAAGAGAGGATGTGCAGAACCAACTTCAGACAAGACGAGAGCAGACTCTGCAGGGTATCCACCTGCAGAGCCACTTGAACGATAACGTCCAGCGAGTCCATGATGACAGCCGTCGCTTCCGAAGCCAAATTACCCTCGAGATGGATCTGCTCGTCTAGTTCCTGGCGGGTTGCGTCGGGGGCGTCAGGGGATGAATAGCGGACTATGTCTTTGCGCCAACTGGGGAGAGAGAGGGTTCTCGTTCGTCAAAGTTCTACTCCGTCTTTGGAACGCCTTCGTATCCATTCGAGCATTTCTCCCCGAACCTCGGCTTCGCAAGGCATTCTAACTCACCGGAGTTGCTCAGTTTGCGCTTGTTGGCTACTCGATCCGGAGCTTGCCGACGAACTGCTCTGATTCGAGCCTAGCGACGCAGTGAGCTGTAGCTTCCGGCGAATCAGCTCACTCCGTGCCGAACCCTGTCCTAGGATTGCCTCTTCGAGACGATTCTTGAGATCTGACGTTTTGCGTATGATATTCCCTCGGTTCACCTTGCCGTGGACGTTTTTCCGCCCTCTGTACTGGAAGCATGAGGCGCATTTCTTTAAGATATTCACGAACCGTTGGAGTTTCACTGGACGCCATTCAGCCAGAGAATGCTTCAAAGTTCGACGGTCGGCGTTCCTGAGCACCCACAAGAAGCACAACAGGAGATGTCGCGAGGCGTCTTCGCGAAGGTGATCGTCCCTCACTTTCGTCATTCTTGAACCTGCGATCACTTCGAGTGTGCTTTTTGACGGTTGGTTCGGGTGCTCCGTATTGTTAGCGAAGTCGAATAGACCCGCAGCATTATCCACGACTATCGTGAGCAGAGGTAGGTACAGAGTAACGATCCGGGACCGTTTCTCAGTTTCCGTGTACCGCGGATCCCAGTCGTGCCACGAAAGCAGGTTCAGTACCACGTAAACCGCTTTGCGATGTAGCTGTAGGTTGTCCGTCGTCAAGGCAGTGGTCAACTGGGATAGGACCAATCCAGCGAGGAAATGGCTCTGGCGGAATTCGTGCGAGAGCTCGGTGGGTAGAGCTACGCTGCTCTGGGACGAGCTGCTGTTGACGGACGGAGACGGCGACACTGGGGGCGAAGTCATCGACTGAGGAACCAGAGGAAGGTTCAACGGAATGTAGTGTTCGTGAGAGCAGACTATCCGCAAGAAGTCCAAACGCAACGAGAATAGATTGTGGTTCATCATGTCCGCTTGAGCGTAGATCTTGGACGAGAAATATTTGAAGTAGAGCTTGATCAGCTGGAAGACGAAGCCCCGATCCATGATACTGATCAGATCGTGGACGAAGAACGCCAGATGAGCGTTCAGGTCGACCGGCGAACCCTCCGAACCGCTCTTGGCGATTATCTCGTCGGTCAGTGAACTTATCAGACACGTGATCTCCTCCTGGAAGTGCTCACTGAATCTTTGCTTCCGCGGCGCTTGCAGTTTACCGGTCGTCGCGAGATGCTGCTGCATCGACTTGATGATCAAATCGAAGAAGAACCACGTCGTGGGATAACTTTGGTTCATGAGTGGATTCTCAGTTGACGACCGGTTGTTGAGCCAGTACTTGATAACTTCTTCGTGGACGAGTTTCCGAGATCTCTGATCGAAACCACAATCGACCTTCGTGCCGGCGCTCGGAGCTGTACTTTGTCGCGAGCCGATATGCGCTGGTGATGACAAGCCAGTTCGAGACAGAATTCCGCAAATTTCCTCATCGCGCTCCAGATCCAACTGCGAACCGCATCCCGAAGCCGGCCGAGTCGACAGCTTCACGTCAGCGGGTGGATGCGGGAGGGTGCACTGGTACTGGAGATAGCTCGCCAGCTGGGGAGAACGCCGATGGAGGTCGTTCTCGAACTCGAGCGCTTGCTGAAGATAGGAAGCATTGATGGTTAGCAGGACAATCCAATTCATAGGCGACCCCGTTCGCCTTATAATGGGGGCAACCTCTCTACTGTTTGCATTGTTCCATTCATGATTCCCCATCCCTTTTGAGGGGGAGGGAATCATTCTTCTACTCACAGCAATCGTGGACACAACCGCACAGAAAGCTTCGAAAACGGTTCCTGATGCGTCGATGGTTATTCCAAAAACCACGGGGGGAGTGACCAGCAACTTGATCAGGTGGTCGAGAACGATCGGGAGGAAATTAATCAGAGCTTCTGAGGAAGCTTTCGCGACTTCGAGTATCAGGTTTCGTACTTCCCGCTCACAGGTATCCTGACCCGATATGAGCCGCGATTGAACTAAAGTTCCCGCTTCCAGATGATTACACAACTGAACGAAATGTTCCAGATGTGAGTCCTGGGGGTACAAGAATAATCCTTTATCCACCGGAACTTCCCACGATTTCACACGACCAGGGTAGGAACAGTAATGAAGATTAGGGAGGTCGCTCCACCGATCGAGAGCAGGGGCTCCAGATGTCCCGTGACACCGACACTCACCTGCGGGAAAACCGAGGAGACGCTCCGAATAGAAATTTCGAAAAGAGGTTTGTGGCTGTCCAACCACTTGGTATTTGGAATGGCGACGTTGGGATTCAGGAACGAATAGGAAGGCGGCGGTTTCTCCACCATTATCGGAATCGAATGGTCACCGAATGGACTCGTGGAAGCATCCGCGGGACACAGAGGAAGCCACGAATATCCGATGGGAGTTTCCATCGGACCAAGGCTCTGTGGTCCCGCACCGAGGCCCTCTTTCCTTTGTTGGCAGGAGATGTGGTAAAAGGTGAACAGGAGATGGTGCCGATCGGTGAGACGCGCTGGTAGTTTGATTTTTATCTCATCGTTGAAATCAGGCACTTTATTGTGATACGTGACGCACGTGAAGGCTTCGGTCGACATTTGCGGACACGAAGATTTTCCGTATATCAGGGGCAGAGCGTGACAAATCTCGTCCTCCCCGCACATTATTTGGATGCGACAAGCGATGTTGCGAGCAGAGACTCCGAGACGATTCGTGAAATTCACGCTTTTTGGATACACGAACAAAAGGTTCCGGTAGCTCACGTGGGCCCGCAGAGATGCTCGGGGAGGGAACTCCAGGACCTCTTTGACTAGACCCGCCACGTTCGGGTCTTGCGGTATCACAGGGAACAATTCCGGAGTGAAAACGTTCGGGATATCCGGTGGACAAGGGGATATTTCAAGTCGAAGTGTGACCGGTATGTTCTTGAGCCGTTTGCCCAGAGAGGCTGCAAACAGGAAATGATCAGATTTTGTGCGAACCCATCATCGTCAGAGTTCACCGATTTGTCTTGAGGGGTCTCTGGAGAGATTCGACTCGAAGGAACCCGATAATGATCCGAATTGAGGACTCCAGCTCACCGGGGCCTGCTGGGCGTCGGAACTCCTGAAGGAACTTGAAGAGATCTTCGTCCTTCACCCTGTCCACTTCCTGTCTGAATAAGTGATTCACTACGATGGTCAACGTTCTAAAATTGTCGAGTGTCATATTGCTACCGGTCGTAATCACAGGCTCGCTCGGGACTTCTTTGATTTTACGGAAGGAATCGAGCTTGGTTCCTCTCTCGAGCGAGCTCCTTCGGCCGATTGTAGAGCCGCTAGCTGTCGGCAGAGTCCCATCCTTCTCCAGGCTTGTTGTTCCCTGGACAACATTCTGTAAATAGATGGCCGTCCAGCCCAGCGGCTGTCTGTAGCGACCGAGACGATCGCAGACTATAGAAGCTTGACTGCGCAACGAATCTTTCGCTTTCCGGTCGTCTTTCAGGTACGGATCGGCACTCTCATATATATCTCCCTGGAGTACTTTCTCAACCTGAGGGAGATCAATGCAAAATTTGAGTGCTGTGCATAGCCAGGGATCAGCTGGCCGGGTTCTCGAATCGTATCAAATCGATGTCCAAGAACATGTTGTGAGAGTCACATACCCGTATAACGAGGAAAATATCCTGTGCATTTTCAGAGCTGATGTTGAAGATACAGTTCCGAGCCAGCGTCGAAACATCAGCGTAAGGCACGTGATTTTGCAGCATCCGTTTCATGTATTCGGAATTCAGGTCAAAATAGAAGTTTTCCGAAATTTTCCGTTTTTCTTTGGCATCGTACAGAGCCATGGACAAGAATAATGGTTCGAAATCAGGTTCCACTCTGCAGAGAGAGGCTCGAATGAGAAAAATCTACGGGGAGCCCTCATTTGTTCCGTGAGCTTCCGCCGAGCGTATCTGGTAGATTCTTCGTCGTGCTCCGATCGATCATTGAATCTCCGAAGAGACTGATCTGAAGATACTTCCCCCGATTCTCTCGTATTCAAGCCCCCGCCGCCCCCTTGAAACGAGTCCCACGCCTCACCCCTAATAATATTTCAATTTTTTACTTAGCTGGGAGGGGTACGAACTTAAATTGAAGACATCGGACAAGAACCCTGTGAGGCATCATCTCGGCTGGAACGCTAGCCGCCGCTCGGGAGTCCACAGCTTCATCTTCTGGGGGCGACTGGTATAGTGCCAACAAGTTCAGTTGAGTGGTCTGAGCTGGAATGTTCGGCGGGTCGCCAGCAACAAGCCCCTCCAAAAGAGGGTCCGATGCCGAGTTCCGCAAATCGAAAACCGACGAAGCCCAACTGCCTCGCGGTGTTTCTCGAGAGCACACCGACGCGCTGTCCTGAGAAAGAAAGATTCAACAGCGTAAGATTGGGATCTGATCATTTTCACTTATTTATCAATTCATCAATTACTCCCTCGAAGCCGTATATGGGACTTTCGGGTACTGACTCCGATGCTCGACGCGTCGTCGACATCCACATCGTTCTCCCCCTCCTCGGTGATGACGCTCGCATTGTCCTGGGCTATATTGGTCTTGTCGATATCGATCTCAAATTCCTGTTTCGTCGTATTCCGTACGATTAGGCTCCGCTCCAGATTTCTGTCTCGGACCCCGAGAGCCGAGCTGAAGTGCTGATAACGGCGGTTGATGACCAGCCAGTTGTTGGTGAAAGAGTCCACGCAGGCCCGAACCCATGGCTCCAACTCAGAGCTGTCGAGCAAACAAATGGGATCTGAGCATCAAAGTGAATGTCTGAGTGATTTTTGATGCCAATCGTATTATTTGTGGTCAGTGAGTGGAACTCTCACTCTTTCTCGTCAGGCACGATAGGTCCGGTGGTTCGAGTCTTCCGCGAAACGACCCCGACCTCGATATCGTCCGCGGGGAATAAAACCAAGTCGAGCAGATTATCTCTCTCGATGACATCGTTCATCTGTTGGATATATTCTTCATAGTCCAACGGCTCCACCACATCGGACGGAGGAACCTGTAACGGGGTATCGACCAAGTTACAAAAGACGGGTTGTGACTATATTTCTTTCCGATGTTCATGTCGGATTTCATTGCTCTCCGGATTTTTCCCGCGCCGGACCCAATTCTTCCTGATGAAACATGGCGTGACTCCCTCGGACTAAGATACGTCAATTTCGTTACAGATTTAAATGAAACTCTGTGGAGAACTTGCACTGTTGTGAGATCCATTCGAGATCCTTGACAGCTCCCTCCGGATGTTCGGACCGCTGCCCCGCCGGAGCTCAACGCGATAGCTGGAAAGACCCAATAGACAAGTTCATCGCTCTGTCAGGCGGAAACGTCTTCCTCCGGCCCGTATTCTGCCGCTATGTTTTACTATTCCTCGGCTGGCGGCTGGGGGGGAAGTCTGTCGCTGAGATAGCCCTGGAGGTTCGCTGAATCTTATTTACAAAACAAGTTTCCCGGAGTGACAGATGTCAGTGGCACTGCGTGAGTCACATGTGTCACTCAAAATTGCGCAAGGCAATCTCCGACATTTCGAGTTGACCCCGATCGACTCGGCCCTATCGAAAATCCTTCGCATGAATATTGAAACTATCCCCCAAACCTTTGAGATCGCTGAGCCATCAAACGCGGTCGCTTTTCGTTCGCCGCCACTGGTAACACCAGCCGCCGCTTCCGCCGCCACCGTCCTTGTTTACATCAGCGCTGGCTCCGTCGTCAGTCGATCACGCCTCATAGGTTGAATAGGATTCGAACGACTCTATCGCGCACGGGTTATCGCGCCGAACATGACTGCGTATCGATGTCCTGTGAACTAAGTGTTTTCAGCTCTCAGGGGTCGTGAGAGCGTGGTGAATTATTTTTTCTTCCCCCACGAGAGAGTCCGCTAACTCAGCGGGGGTTTCTCAAAAGGTGGATCCGAAAACAGTAGCCGGGGCCGTGATGGGGACAGGGCTCCACTACGAGTGAAAGTCGCATACCGACTCCCCAAAATCCAATACTGCAATACTGCATATCCTGTTGAAAACCTATCCCCCATCGTTATCGATAAGTAGCTCAGCCAATCTAGAAGAGTAGGGTCCCCGAGAGATCCGCGTCCATGGGTCTGACTAGGATTTTGGGGAGTCGGTATGCGACTTTCACTCGTACTGGAGCCCTGTCCCCATCACGGCCCCGGCTAACGTTTTCGGTATTGTTGCGATCTGCCCCCTCTGCCCGATCATTTGACGATATATCAAAAATCAGTGGAGTTTCTCTCGGGATCCATCAGATCATCAAACAGTGAAAGTCGTTGACGCTGTACATCGAGTATTCCCAAGCTCTTCTAGACCTGGACCCCTTCCTCGGTTCCTCAGCATGAGATTTGGGGACCCTGTTGACCCCAACCCTCCGGATCTCGGGGAGGTCTAGAGCTTATCAAAGACGCCCAGGGGAGCTTCTCAAGACGTTTCCAGATGCCGGGGGTCTACTTCATGCTCGTACTTCCCCGATTGAGAGCTCCTCCGATTGCTGCTCCTCGAGTTGAACTTACACGGGAGCTCCCTGATATCAATCAGACGATGTGGGGCGAGCCATTCAAAAAGCGCCCCGAGACTGTGAGGAACGAATGTCGATATGTTATTCTGTTCCACGAACCCCGAGACGTGGACTAGGACAAGGTCTCTCGACTCTCTTCGGGTAGCTGCCATAACATTGGCTGTATCCCAACCAGTTCTGATGTGGACTGGTATCGAGGACCCAAGCACAGAAGCCTGTCCCAGAACCCAAGGCCTCAGTTTCTGTATACTTCTTCCTTATCGGTCAATCTGGAACGCTGAGGCGTCAGTCATCGCCCTTCGCGATACCGCCCGCCCGATTCCGATGAAGCCCGAAGCAGAAATCGCCAGCATCATTGTTTACGGGAACATGCGGGACGCATTTTTGTTTTCGAAATTTCGAGCGTTTCTGCCATAGTACACTAATACAAATACAACGACCGACCGTTGCAAGAAAGTCGCTCCGCTGGCGATCGGGGCTCCAGAGACTTCCCGCGCATCAGGGACATTTGCTTTTGCAACAGCATGGCCAGTCAGCACGCCGCGCGGCAAGATGCCGTAGCCGTATCGACTTGGTACCACAATCCCATCACATTGAGACGATTGGCCCACTTTCGAACCCCAGCTGAGTGTGCAGTGGAAAGAGGTGAAGGGATTCCACTCAGGTTCGTGCGTGTGGTGTGTCGCCAGCGGTAGTGCTGAGGAGAACTACGCGGCTTCATAGCGTGGGTGAGATCGTTTCGCGAAACTTCAAAACCTTATCGCATTTCATCGAGCACACATAGTTCAGTACCATCCTGACTAGTCATGGTTGACGCGTTGAGTAAAGATCTCATGGAGAGATCCTTCAAGGAACGTCGATCTTTCGGTGAGTTCTCGCAGAATCCGTGGAGTTTGTATCTATTTCGCAGACCTCGGTACACTGAGAACAATTAGCTTTTCCCGAGTGTGTGGATCCAGGAATCCGCCGCTGTAGGTATCCATGCTCGTGGATTAGCCTTCGCACCCTTGAGTCGCATCAGAACGCAAAAATCAGAAGTTTTCGCTTCCGTGGCCTTGGTCGGAGATTTCAGCGTGCGACCGCACAGAAAATACCACATATGGCTGCTCGAAAGCTCGGAATAGAGCATGGATCGCTCCCCGCACCGTGGTATACATACTACGCAGGGGTCAGCATGCGATCTGAACTCATTTCCGTGACGCATTAGTGACGTGAGATTCATGATTTGGTCACTCCGTGATCGTATAGCATATGATTCCCGGCTCGAGTTGGATTCGATCTGCTCTGCTGCGTCACCTGGAATCAGCCCGGCGGGAACATGCGCAACGCTTAGTCGGCAGCTTACGTGCGTCGAAACGCGTGCGAGCATTCACGCGTCTAAAGAGCGCAAAGGCTTCGATCGCTCAGGGACTGAAGTTGATTTCCGTTCAGTCTCCGTTCAATCGACGAAATCGTCACAGCGATGCGACTCGCCTCGTCAGAGGTGGCTCTCCCGGACGCTTACGTCTGCGTACGAACACTCATCAGCTTTCTTTTCCGAAAACATACGAATCGAAGACGCATATCATGAATGGATACTCGGAAAAACTTCGATGTGAGATTGCACATGTGCTCTGTCCAGAGTTGATGGCGCGGGCAATGCGGTAACCTGGCGCATGCGAACGGGAACTCGCCTCCTCAATCGTTCCTCGAGGACGGGATCCCCGATTCCACAGTACGGGTCTTTTCAGAAGGACCCGAGTCCGAAACCCAGCACCCGCTCCGCTTCCCCCTATCGAGCCGCGCATCTGTGGGCTCCCATTGAGCTCTGACTTTCCGGGACGGGCTCTCGCTCGATCGGACGAACCCCCCGCGGAAAAGATGAAGGTCTCTGCAGCAACCCAATCGATTAAGGAGGGGGGACAATTCGTCATATTATAGATTGATCCATCGAGTTTTCGCTGGCTTGCTAAGAGTCCTCCCCCGACATTCGGAGAGTCAAAGATTTCATCACTTTCGAATTTCGCTTTTTCTACGGAGCTATCGAATCCTTGTGCGGAGCGGAGACTTCCACTTCGTTCTATTCTCGAGATTATTTCCTCGCCCAGCAGCTCTGCAGACAACGCTCGTTGGATACTCATCGCTCTGTAGGAGGGTTCGATGAGATTATTATTCATCTGAGCGACATGGTATCTCGACCACACCACAGCCCTGCTCAGACGCTTTGTTAAGGTTTTCGACAATCTTTACGAACCATTATCTTGACCAATGCGGGTCGGACCTCATTCGAACGTTACGAAATCTGGCATCTTGCATCGAGCAAAGATGCGCCGCATCTCCATACCCTTTTTCACCAAGTCTTCTATCCCCTCCTTCATATGGCAGAGTTTCTCGAGAGAACGTTTGATACTCCCGCTGGATCTGTCTCTGAATGAGATGGACGAGAGATCGCCAGTGGGAAATTCACTCTCTCGGTTTCAGCTCTCGGACCCGGGAGTTCGAATGCCGGGCGATTCAGTGAAAGTTCCTCTTCTCCTCATCAACCACTCATCGGTCCCCCGATTCCTAGTTTGACCCAATTTCGAAAAAATAATTATCATTAACAACGTCATTCGCGATTCCAGCTCAGCGACAGCGCGATGTTGAGGATATCATCGAGAGACACCCCGACAAGGTTCCCTGCGTAATTGAACGATACCGCAACGAGAAAAGTCTTCCGCCTCTCGACAGGTAAGTCAATTACCAAGTCCGCGTCGTGATAATTGGATCAGATGGGATAAGGACAAATCGAGCTGAAGGGCTCTTCTGCCGGCGCCAAGGGGTTTGAACAGCGCGTCTAAAGCCTTTTTTTGTGTCACCCCAGGTCGAAGTTCTTGGTCCCGGATTATTTGACTTTCGGTGAGCTTGGTCGAATAATTCGCAAACGGCTCGAACTCCATCCTCACCAGGTTCGTCATGAATGCCAGTCCGATCGCAATCTCTTTCTGGGTGCCACCGAATAAAGATGATCTGTGTGGATTCCCTACATTGGAACTAACGAAAACTCTGATCTGCAGACATTCTTCCTGTTAATCAATCAGCGTAACATGGCTGCAGTCTCGAAAACCATGGCCGAGGTTTATGCATCTGAGAAAGATGAAGACGGGTACCTGTACATCGTCTACGCCAGCCAAGAGGTCTTCGGATCAGACCGATTGGAGTCCGCGGAAGCAGAAGACGGAGCTGCGTAAAACGTTCTAGTTATCTTCCTCGGGAGTCGAGTTCCCACACTGAACAGATGTCTGATTCGGGAGAGCGGATTTTATGCGTTGTTTTATCGGTCCTGATGTTCTGGGATAAAATTCAACTCGACTTCGGAGGATGCCATCGATGACCTTACTCACACGAAGCTGTTAGCTGGTCACGGCTACCAACTTGTACTCTAACAGCCGACCACAAAACCAGCACCATGGTGGATCAAGAGATTCGTCTGAATACATATGTAATGTTTGAAAGGACACCTGTAGATTGGATCAGTGGCGTTCCAGACAGTAGCCGTGGATAAATTCTCTTTATCGACGAGCTGCTCGGAAATTATCCACTGAGTCGGAGAAGCGAGACGAAACTGCCGTAATAGGCATTGTTACTATGTGATGTGAGTTTTTTTCCACGTATGAAGTCCCCCAATCAACTTTCATACGAGACGATTCCTGGCTATTCGTTCACCTGATACTTCTTAAAACAACTGTTCGCTCTCGCGATGTGAAATGGCCGACTGCTAGCCGGATGCCACCATTCTTAAGTCAGACAAACAATAAACAGCGTGACTTCAACTTCTACGAGAGGAATAATTCCTGTTTCAAGTGCTATCCCGAAGGCCTCACCTCCACAACAACTCTGTCAACAGAACTTCTGCGGAGGTAGGAGCCAGTCGAATGAAAAGAGCTCCGATATCAACGTGGAGCGAGAATGTACCATTTATTTACAGAATTTACACGACCCCCGTGAACTTCTCTGGCAAACAGGCTCGCTGGAGGGGATCGGGCCGTCGCGCGTCCTTCAATCCAAGCATCCTTCTAAAAACGAGAACACCTCGATGGAGTCTATGGCCGATTCTGGAACAAAAATCTGTGGTTAGTCGTTGTGAGCTTGATGACTTCGGAACAAGTTCGAATTCCTCCGTAAACGGGGGTGGGAAATCGGACAGGCGGGATGACTCGCTCACCGACGTCTCGTCTTTGCACGGTTTTTTTTCGGTTCTGCAGCGTGAAATTGTAGGTTTCTTTCGCGATAGCTTCGATGAACAATTCCTGGAAAACCTTCGATTGGAGATTACCGAGCGAGCGGTGAAATCTGAGCTCACGGATTTGCCCGTCAACATACGTCGACTGCTGAAAATCTCTCGCATGGATTTTTTTTACCGTTGCCTTGGCTACGATGAAAACAGCCTCTTGGGAGGCGCTGTTCATTTCACTGTCCAGTTTCATGATCGTTCGTATCTTCGAAATCGGGAATCGCAGAAGTTTTTCATGTTTTTCCACAAATCCCTCCTGGGCCTCGTCACCGGAGGCCGGTACCGCTGTCGATTCGCTCATCGACGGATTGGGCGGGGAGCTAAGATGCCCGAAATCGCGCAAACTTGAGCCTCGAGAGCAGATCTGAGAGAATAGCTGGTCCCTCCAAGGAAAGCACTTCGTTCAAAAGCATGATCAGCTGATTGGAAGTGGCGCCAAAAACAAAGCAGCCGACGGAGCGAAGCTTCTATAGAATTTCGGCAGCTCTCCTTTGGCCACGGGTCATTCCATTCCTTTCCTTATCGGAGTCCGAGACGGAGATCGCTGGTTCCCCGTCATCGACACCGTCATTTCGGCTACGACTTCCTGTGCGCAACGATCTCTAGCTCGAGGAATACACGCTCCGCTGAACTCTGCGCCAAGCGTCGGCCTCCATAGAAGCTCATAGCGAGGCAGGGTCGAGTCAGCTGATGAGGAGATTGCGGATACAGGCGCAGTAATTGTGCAAACACGAAGAGCCGCGCTCCTGAGACGATTCGGACTCGTTCATTTCGGAGATAATATCGAAGCTCTCGAAGTAAGCTTCTTCTATCTCAAATTGAAGAGCTGTTGGTAAATTATGAACATCACAGGGCTTCACCGATTTTTTTTTCTGATTCTGTCTTCGCGGGCGGCGCGTATCGCCAAGAGAGGCGCATGATTTCAGGTTCGCTTGCGAGTTCGAGCGTAACCTACGAATGTCTCAAAAACTCGTTGCAGATGGTCGCTAAGCGGGGTTTTCCCTTCGAGGACTCCCAACAAGGTCAATACAAAATACACGTTACTGAGAAGGTCTACAATTCTACGGAGCAGAGAATCTCGTCGGTTTACGGTAGGAAGGGGAAGTCGCCGAGACCGCCGTCGAGGAAACTCGCGCTTCCTCGTACGATCACTGAAAATTCTGATTCCAGAACGAACGCTTTCGAAATTGATGACTGGATCCCGGGACTTTTTCCGAACCCAGCGAGGGACATGCCCAGCATCGGGGAATTCCCCGGCAGAATTGAGTGAGTCGGTCTCAACATTTCTGAGCGATTGTGCGAAGATATCTGCAGCCCGGGGGAGCGAACGCATGTGTGACGAAGGTTGCCAGCGAAGACCTGCAATCGGGCTTCCTGATAATACTCGATGAGACGCTGTCTGAACACCGATACGATCGTAAAATATCTTGGTCTTTGCAGAAGAGTGCATCTCCTGCCGCAGAGAAGAGCTTTGCTCAGCTAAATGCGATTTCTGTGACGTTGCCGTATGTGATAACTGCGCGAGAATCTGTCACAGCTGTGAGAACGTCTTCTGCCACATGTGCTCTATCGTCAGGTGAGACTGCTCGACATACTCGATAGCCCTCCTGATTGCTGTCATCATGTCTCGTTGTCTTGAATGAACATCTCGCTCGTTCATTCAAGCGAGATGTTCATTCACATCTCGCACCATTCCATGGATGCATGCGTGGGAACGCTTCCCTGAACGGCGATTTTTTTCGCCCGCCCAACAAAGGCATAATTCCGACTACGGTATTTCCCGACCCCCTGGCTCGTCTCCGTTGTGCATTCACGAGGGCTGACGGACAAAATCTAGCAATCATTGTTCTGAGGCAACCATTGTTCTCTCTTCCAGTTACGGCGAGCGCGACAACACAGCAATCTGTTTTTCGTGTAAATGACGAATGATGTGTGTGATTCCAATGGTCAAAATTCAGAGCTCAGCAAGATACCCGCCATGAAACGATCTCTTCTGTCAGTTGCACTGTCGTTTGTTTGTATATAAGCTCAATTGTTATTGCCTCGAAGTATTCTAGATCAATCAAGAATCGATCAACATGATCACAGAAGGCTTAGAGAAATGGTAGATTTTTTGGAAGAATAAAGTCAAAATTCTTCCATTTTAAAGCTTCCCTTCGGTCTCTTCTCTCCCGCCAGATACAGTCGTCGCAGGTTCGATGCGGATGAGGGAGCTGGGACCTCCAGAATGCAGGCGTATTCAGCCGAGCATTGGCCCGATAGGTTGCTTCATTGCCTTCGAACCGGGGAATCGTAAGAACGCGGGGAGAGGGGGGAGGGGAAATTAGCTGCTTTCCGCGGGATTTCATCGAGAGGGATTATTATGCTTTGTGGACTGGTTCCGCAGAAGCTCCGCGCGCGATTACCTTCTTCTTGCACGCCTCCCCATCCACTCAGACAAAGGCGGCATCGAAGACATATGGAGCCACTACATAAATCATGCTCAAAAGACCATGCACTGTACACGGTGCCCCGATCATGGAGGGGAGTGTTCGTCCCAGTACTCCCGATTGGCGCTCGGAGCGACATGGCTCGAGAAGTCTCCTCAGGGAGTTCCGTTCGCAAATCGCTTGGGTATGTGGCTTCTCGGGCACGAATGCGATGAGCTTCAGCTTCACCCCCTTTTTCCGGCCCGTGCATGTACCATCTGTGGGTAGGAATCGAGACTACGGTGCTGAGCGACGATGTCGCAGAACTAACGATGTCCCCACGCCATCTAATGCCTCACGAAACGCCCCACAGAGTAGAGCAGCTGGGAAATATTCGAAGCTATTAATGATAAATGACGTCAATACTTGTACGAGCGTATCGCTTGGCTCGAGGAGATCACATTGATAAATTGAGTTCCAGATTTTCGGGGATTCAACCGCCAGCAGAAGAAATTTCATTGGAACTCTGAGGGAAGCGAAGGTATCGGTGTGAGCAAAAATAAAGACAGGAGCGGAATGATTTCACTCGTCGATGAACTCAGGTACGATCATCTATCATCGACAAACATCAACATTCGTGAGCAGTTCTCTCCCGACGGGATGATGGAGCTACGGCTCCGAGAGAAGGATCGACCAACTTTCTGAATAATAATTGTTCCCTTGGCATTGTCATTCGCTGAACTTTGCGGCTCCCGCGCACTCGGATTTCGCGGAGACGGCCATGCCCCCTTTCCTCCTGCAATCTCCATCTCCCGCACCAACCAGACTGAGAATCACCTCAATATTCCTGAGTCCTGACAATAAGAATCAACAAACACAAGCCAGGATGGTTGGTCGGAGAGGAGACACGACTTCTAGGTCTTAATCTATAGGCTAGTCTTCTTTTCAAACTGATATACGTTGCACAGGCATTTCGACAGATATGGAGTTCGCATGGATATTGTTCTGGTGATTCGACTCTTAAGTTATTTTTATTCATGACTTTCTTCTATCTTTCCCTCCGATAGGTTGGATTTTAACATTTCACCTCAACATTCCCGTTCAATTGCGACGCAACAAATCCCGAAGTGTCTTTCCGGCCTATCTTGTTTTTCGCTCTCTCTCCATCGCAGGGTATAGCAGTCTAGGACTTTCCGGTCGTGAAAGATCACCGCTTCCCGAACTCATTATCGATCAATCAATCGAATGATCTCCCAACAGATGAATCAAAACAAATAGTCGACCGACTAATTTTCTCAACGGTCTATCGCTTCGGTCTTCGACTCATTCGATCCTTTCAAACTCTTCTATCTCTACAGAACAACAGAACCCCCCAGCAGCAGAAGCTCACAACTGCCACCAAGAGCACAGAGAACGACATAGGCAAAGTTCGGCGCACAGGAAAAACGGATATGTCCGATCACTAACTTCCAAAGGAGGCTGGCTGGATTTCTGGCAAGATGTCTAGATCAGGTCAACTAAAACCTGTGGCTAGGGACTGGTGGAGTTTTTGTATGTTCATTCTCCCTTACTTCTCCTCACTCCGTTCCGATACAGCCGATACCCTCTCGGGGATATTCGCGCTCGCTCGCTCGCTCCCTTGCGTTCTTCACAGCACAACACAGGAAAAATCTACGATAATAATAATTTTATCGAGGGTTAGCCCTCGATGAGCTCACGCTGCGGTACTACGCTCGCTCCCCCGCCCGCCCAGCGTCTCCGTCGTCCCAGTTAGCCTAGTTGTGGTCAGTTTTTTTGTTTTCCAGTTTCATGATCAGTTTCCCGATTCACTCGCATTCCCCGCAGTCTCTCACAATGTCTCATCAATCTTCATCTTTCAATCATCAATCGCAGCACAGGCAAGCAGCAACAGACAAATCCATTCCAGCCGAGCATCGCTGCATCTTGACGTCGACGACGTCGCCGTCGCATCGACTCAACCAGCGACCGACTGGAAGGTTGGCAGGCAGAATCGGGAGGTCCTTCTTCTTCTCCGTGATGTTGTTGTTGTTGTTGTTGTTTGATTCCGTCCGTAATTGCGCGGCGTGCCTTAGCACTGGCAGTTCTGACCGGGTCCGCCTTTAGGAGCGTTGTTATCCGTCAGACGGGTGCCCTTATTGGCTCCGGACACTAGAGATGGATCCGCATCGAGAGTCTCTGACATCTTGTCGCAGATGATGTCAACAAGTCGCTCGAAACACTGCTTCACGTTGATGTTCTCTTTTGCCGACGTCTCGAAGAACTCCAGTCCAAGTTGTTCGGCCAGTTGGCGCCCCCTGTCCGTGGACACGACCCGTTCGTCCTCCATATCACATTTGTTTCCTGGAAAGGAGACTCCCATTAATCTATTTGCTCCCTTCCATTGAGAGGGTAGAGCGTCCCTGGCACTCGCAGATGGGCTCCGAATCTCTTGGAAGGGACCGGAGATTTATGAACCAAAGAGGGATGAGGATTAGCTCCTGAGTCGAGGAAAACGGAGTAGGCGCTCACCTACGAGCACGACTTGGGCGTTGTCCCAGGAATATGTTTTGATTTGGGTGACCCAATCCTGGACGCACTTGAACGAGTCTTCGTTGGTGACGTCGTACATGAGAATGAATCCCATGGCTCCTCGGTAATACGCTGTCGTGATGGTTCGGTAGCGTTCCTGACCGGCGGTGTCCTGTTCGACGAAAATGAAACTCTTGAGAACTCTACTCCGACAGAATCTCCGATTCTGCTCGACTCTGAGCGACGGGTCCCACCTATCGTACACCATGCCCACATTTTTCCGTATCCGTCGGAGACGGGGGCTCCGTGTCTTCGAAGCTCGAACGACTTGAATAACACGAAAGTGGGAGATTTCTGGAAGCAGCCCGTCGATCGATCAGTCGGTTGGTGCGCAGTCCACAACGTGGAGCTCGCCCATTATGAATGAGTGATCAGGGACTTTCCCAATTTTCCAAACTTCTTTCTGCCCACGATCATTACGTGTTCTAGAAAGATTATCATATATCTCCCATCTTATCAAATTCAAGAACGTGATTCTCTTCGACTCGCGTTTTCACTGTCCTTCTTAAAGACCCTACGGCCAGTAATAACTCCACAGGCGTACGCGGTCAAACCGCTGCGTTCATTCATTGAACAGACAACTCATCAAGTTTTTCTTGGACTTACTTCCCGGGCGGAGCTGGAGGAGATCAAATATCAAACCATTCAGACTCACCCAAATTTGGAGCTTGACGCGTTTGTCATGTCGAAAAACAGTTTTCACTTTGAAGTCGATCCCGACAGTCGAAACGAAGGCCGAAGTGAAGGAATCGTCAGCGTAGCGGAACAGGAACGATGTCTTCCCGACCGAGGAGTTCCCTATGATCAGGATCTTGAACATATAGTCGAAGTTTTGGTCCGTAGACGCATCTTTCGGCATCGACGTCATAGCGGGCGATCCCTGGGGGGAAGAGAGTGTTTCGTGAGTGCTTCTATCTAGGAAACACCGTTCTATCGCTCTCCGGAGTCACGTCACTCTAGACTCCATTCGTGTAGGGCCAGGGACCCACAATCAAACTTTCTCGTGCGGAAGGAGTCGAATACCCTCGCAGTATGCTCAGCACTCTACTTCTGAAACCACATTCGAGCCTCGGACGGACATCACTGAACTTCACAAGCTGCGTCAAGCACAAAAATCTCCCATCCCCTCCCGAGAGGTAGAGATTGATGGGCGCTCATGACCCCAACAGTCGGAACTGTGCAATCAGTGCTTAGATCAGCGAAGTATTATAGCTATTGACGGCTACACTGACACAAGGCATAAGCCTGAAAAGAATATATTCCACCGATCGGGAAAACTGCGGGTTCACCGACGAGGAAGTGCTGGTTCCTATCCACGAGACTCCCTGACTCCTAAGAGCACCGCTCCTTCGGAGGAGTTAAACAGTGCGCAAGCTCTTCGCGAACTTAGTTGTAAGCGGACAGATACAGGCTCAACAAACGACTCGGGGACGGATACAGGCTCAACAAACGACTGGGGGACCGACCAGCTGTCGAGTCTCGTGGGAACCAAGTCGTCGACAATAAGAATGGAACGAGTCTGCGAAAGGAATTTCCCCGGTAACTATTGCTGAGTATGACAAGGGCTGCTCATACGTCCCAGTCACGCATTGCAGTCGTCACCATCGTAGCGCGAAATGATCTCTATCATCGGGATAATTTTGGGCTTCCCGTGATCATCAATTTCCTGGAGACTTTCCGAGATTCGACCCAGCTCGACCCGGCGTCGTCCGTTCTAGTACCGTGGCTTCGAATTTTCGGGAAATCGAGGCGACTGTCGTCAACATCGCCTCTCTCCATCACTGCCAAGCTCACCCCCCCCCCCCCTAGACTCCAGGTGGGCTTGTATATCGATTCTATGAAGACATCTCTGCCAACAGAATCGAACGATAATCATATTCCCCCCTTTGCCGTTCAAGACGCTTAGAATTGCAGGTTTTCGCTGAAGACCGAACGCATTTGATAAAACGTCTTCGACGGGCCGGATGTCAGCGAGAATACACCGCGAGCGATATGTCGTACTCACACGGCTGAGTTATTACATATAATAATTCTGTCGCACAGCACGCTCTGTGTGGCTCTGTTGAAGGGACTGTGGTGTGAGGATCAAGGGACAGTTCCCTACGGGGCAGACGTCTTTTGCTCGGCGTGGATCACAATGTTCTCGCGAAATGTTCCGCTCTTCTTCTCATGCTTTGTGGCGAAACTTTATTCCGACACCTCATGCTCGGCTCCTGCATGAGACTCGACGAGGACAGAAGAGGTCTCTTTTCAGAGCCTCCAGGACCGAAGTGAGAGGGAGATTCCACCTTGCGCGCGTCGGGATCTCATTTGGAAATAAGTCGGAGACTGTCGCCTTCCCCAAGAGGTGAGCCCGTTCTGGACTTTTTCAGCGAGCGCCGGCGTTCTCCCCGCGTTGTCGATTGATTTTGAGTTTCTGGCTCTGACTTTTCAACCTGTGGGGCACAGAAGAAGTAGAAGGGCAAAAGGCGATCATGCGACGACTCTACGGGACGTTGTTGTGGTTCTTCCCTGCCATTCGGAGACTTCGGCTAGCAAGGAACGTCCGCGGCATCTGCGACCGCGCATTTTGACGTGCCGCGCCGCCATGCGACCGGCACAGTGTCGTGGGACATCGCTTTTGTCGTGAAGCGATGTGCCGCGTGGGACGAATCACTTTTGATTCCGAAAGCCGTCCAGTGTAGACAGCTGTGGCAACCGGCGAACCCATAGATGATCATGTACTCCACAACCGCAGAAACAGTGGGTCGTTCCCGCCGCTGCCATCCGTCTATGACGTTCGTTCCAATGCTTTCCCCGCGATACGATACGCTGTTGCTTTCGAACTGCGGGGAATAGAGTACATACACGATTTTGATCGATTGAATGGAGCGGCTAGTCGAGGAAGCGAAAGCGATACCCGCCTTGTCGAAAGCGAACATTCCGCATTTCTCTTCATGCAGCTAAAATATTCATCCGGCAGCGCTGATTATGCCGAGCTTCACTACCGAACCGACAAGCGAGCCCACTAGCCAACCGACGAGCGGGGAAATGAACGCCGGTAGACGAGCGAGCCAGCGAGCTAAGCTCACTTCGGCCAAGCTTCGCAGCAACTAATGAAGTAATGGAGCCGTACAAAGGGCCTCGGAACTTCGACGTCCATGTGTGTGATTTCCGACCCGGCCACGGAATTCGCTCACAGTAGTTCGGCTACTCCGTTGACGAATATCCCGCAAAAGCCAGAAGCGCCCGGGAACTCCCGCCAAACGGACGGGATATCCATGAGGGAGAAGGGCGTCGAATGGAAACGCTCCGCAAAAGGTTCAGACGGTGAGCCCGCAATTTAGGAGGCTCGAGACCTCTCGAAACTAATAGCTCAGATGGAGAGCGAGGGGGAATGAGACGGAACTTGCGAGAGGAGTAACGAGATTCGACGGCGCGTGAATGATAGAGGCTAGGAACGGGATAACGACGGGCTAGCCACTAATAAGGAATGGCGGTATGGCCACTTTCGGCCCTTGAGTCAAGGAACTTCCCTCGATGCTCATTGTCATTATTGCTGTGGCTGATACTCGGATATAGATGCCCTGGACGCAAGGTGGGTGTGTCTCTCGCGGCGTGCTCTGTTTCCCGCTCGTCTCCAGACCCTCCTCGCGAAGAGCACTCTACGTATCTGGCAATATTTCCGTTGGCGAGATAGACAAGCCACGCTCTACAAAGTTATTACATCCTACGCTCACGCCCGTCACGGTCGGTTAGAATTCATTCGCCTCCTAGCCGCCACAGAGAAACCGATGTGAGCCCACCATAGCCTTTCGGGGAGAATTCGCTCCCGTAGAGAGGGGAAAAACTGACGATCGCTCGCCCTTACGGCGAGAGAATTTCCTTCCGCCGACCTGCGCTTGACATCTCATCCTATAGCGACAAGTTGACCAGTTGAGTGGTCGCCGTTCCCGTGCGCTTCGATTTGCGAAAAAGCCGCGTCCCTCCGCTGATCCTTCCCGATCTGGCCCATCGTGTTGCTGAATCAGTGAAATAGAAAAATCTTCTGCTTTTCCGTCCATGTTCGGTCTCTAACAGGGAAATACGTCCGCACCGGAACGGTGACTGAGGCCGAACTCGCGGAACGCTGAGACGGAGAAGTTCTCCTCTCTTCCTGTTGAAGACCACATTGTTGCTCTCCAATCTGATCGTTGATTGACTCGATCCTCCTCGCTGGCGACAACCGTCTTAGTCGGAACCCAGCGTGTTAAGTGTCTTATCCGCGAATCTGGATCGCGGTCAGATTCCCGAGGCGAGAATTAGCGGGCCGCATTGAGAATCCTTCCGGTGCGGGAGATAACGTGACGGAGGTCGACGCATCGAGTTCGCTGCGGCTGCAGACCTTACTCCGAGCGTCGTCGAGGCATGAACCATCAATAAAAGATACATAATCGATAGCGAGATGTTGCGCGGTGCGAGAATAAAACACGCAACGGCCATTCGAAGATAAGCTCTCGTCGCTCCGATCCGTTCGAACAGCGAATACAGTCGTCGTTCTTGTTCCTCTTGCACGTAACAAGAGCGACGTTTGACGTCGTCTCAACAAGAGTGCTCTTGAGCCCGACGAGTTGATCGAGTCTCTCGGGAGCAGCGAATGCTGTACGACATAATTTCTCGGACGCCCCTCTGACGTGTGATCGGCACGGTCGCAAATTAACCTCTCACTACCTAGGCTTTGGAAAACTCTAACCCCTCGCATCGGCCGAACTTAGATGCTGTCAGAGTTCCAGAGCCAGCGGTGGCGGCGACGGCATCGTCAGCCCGGTGACCGGGAGACATCGGCTGCGCTCGGGAATCCGCGGGCAACGTGCAAAGACTGCGGGAAACGAGCTCGACGGTCGCGACGAGTCGTACTGCTCTCAGTAAAGAGAATGTCGGACTGAGAGTTTTAGATCATGTTACTCGGGAGCTCAGGATCCGATTCCCAATTAAGTTTCTCGAGGCGACGAGAGCCCAGATTTCCCTCGCCCCTCGCCCCCTTCCCGTACGTTCCCTGGACATAGTACGAAAGCCGGGTCACTAAACATCTCTGCGAGAAGGTCCATGAATACATAGAAAGGGATTCTAAGCTCGATTCCGATCAGTCCGTAATCCGACGTCATATTTCGTGACGGCAATGACCTCTCCGTGAGCATCCGAACTTCTCGAGATTCCCCGCTGCCACAAATCGAGCAGGAGGAGGACCCACGAATTACGACGATCGTCTAAGGTAAGACCCGTTCGCGGGACCCACTCGAATGGAGAGCAACAAGAGAATTAGCTCCGCTTGATGTCTGAAACAAAAAACTTTCGAAACGGCGAGTGGGCTTGACACCAAATTGAAAGTCCGGAAAATCGTAAGCTGTCCGCTCTCATGTTTGGTCGGCCTATTTCTCAAAACGGAGAGAGATCGGTCCCTTGCTCGGTCATGGCGGACAGCTCCGTTGTCGTCAACGTTGCTGTCGCCGGATACAGAGAGAGCGATACCGGATCCGGGAGGCACTCGTTTGTCGCGGTTCTTGGTTCCCAAATCTATCGCCATACAATCTATGTGAAAGAAACAGGTTCCAGCCCTAACATCCGACCTTGCGTCGTTGTGCTTGATTCCGAGCGGACCGAACTTACTCGAGAAGGCATGGTCGGTCAACTGATTTGACTCTGTACACAAAATGACATAACAGTCTTTCATGAATAGCCAGCGATGCATTCGAGATTGCGGTGGTGGCGGAGGCCAAGGCCGAGCTCTTGCGGCTACGTAGCTATTTGGGGAGGAGCCATTTGAGGAATATGTACTACGAGAATAACTTTGTATTCCCGGAGGATCCACGCGAGGGAGATTCGGGCTTCAAACGGAGCCATATTTTCTCCGGGCCCGCAACCATTTCCCTCGGAATCAGGCGCTGCTCATCGAGTCGAAATCGCGTGGCGCGGGACGGACAGCGTCATAAGTCTCCCGAGCTCGAGTTTCTCTGAGGAGCTTCTTAGATCCCCCATTCGGCGTGGTCCTATGGAGCGAAAGCAAAAACAAGGACAAGCAAACTCAAGTTGTCCCCGACATGGTTGCCGAGCGTCCCATGATTCGGAACGCGTGCTCGATGTTCGGTAGACTACCACTAGGACGTCTGTCAACATCACAGGTCCTATCCTCTGGACCATTCCGGGAATCAGACATCGTTTCGAACTCTTATCTTCTACCCGACCGGCAGGTAGTCGAATTCTCAGCCTTCGTCTATAAGCCCTCTCTGGATTGTTCGCGATTCGCAGAAGCTACTCGAGGCCACGGATCCAAGCTCGATGGTTTCTTCAATATGTGCTCAGATATCGATTGCATCCGAGACCAATGGGCAAATTATTCGGATTGTGTCAGGAGTCGGAACGCGGTGGACGAGAACTCCGTTCGACAGAATCGGATCTACCGAAATTTTTCAGTTCGCCGAACGACGCAAATCGAAAGCCTGAATTTGCACTTCCCCACGCAGTCTGACGCGAACGAACTTCCGCGATTTACACTCTTTGTTTGGACCTGCGGCGCAGACCCCTCCGCAGAAATTGGTTGCTTTCTTTTTCTTCTTCTCCAATTGCTCTCAACTCGAATGGAAAACGTTCCTCCGCGCTCATGACTCATAATAGCGATGCCCGCCATTATCGGTTGGTTGATAATGGGTTGAGACTCGTGATTAAGTTCCCGTTAAGCATTTCTTTGTTGTTGTTGCTGTTGTTGTCGTGAAACGGGGACATAATCTGACGATAATTGAATCAGCGGTAGAAGTTCCGAGGTAGGCCACTCACTTCTGACTGAACGGAAATTAGGAAGACCAGGTCAGACCTAGGATGGTGGGAACGAGCTTTTGGGAGAGGAAAAAGTTCTTCTGTTGCAAGCAACATTTCTGTGTACTCAATGGGGGGAAAGGAGCGAGGAGCCAGGCAAGGGGTTCGCTGCTCGTCTGCTCGGTCTGTTCTAAAAATAGAGTACAGACAGTCGGAGAGTGTTTTCCAATGAGCAACGAAGCCGAAGGAAAATGCGCGAACAACACAACAATCCACCAGAGGAGAATTCCGCACTCGCCGAGCCGACTCGCCACAGAGATCCCTCGTAAAAATGTCGATGACGTCCGCAGCGGCAAGTGACAACTTCGAAGCTCCTGCTCCACCGAATTTAATTCAAGCGAGAGAGGCGATTCCACGAGCCTGAGATGAACTTCCACACAACACCGTCTGTCATCCCACAACCAGTACGATCCATCATCGAACGCTCGCTTGTGCTGAGTTTTGAGACGTTATCCGAGGCTTCGGTAAACTGAACATCTGGCCAAGTTGCTGGCTGGCTGGCGAGCGATCCACCACCCACCTGTGATTTCGTTCGCGATCAGATCCGAGTGTGGCGAAAATGCGGTAAGTTCTCCAACACCTCACGACTCGTCGTCTTCCTCAGAGAACGCGTTGGCCGACCTGAACTTTTCCTCTCGATAACGCCGTCGACGCTCGCTCTCTAAATAAACTTGCTCGGCGGACAGACGGCCAGGCAACTAGACAGTCAGTCAGTCGGGCAGGCAGGCGGACAGGCACGGCACCACTACGTTCGGGCTCCGCTCACGGCAGGACGGGGCAGTTTCGTCGCTGCGAAGGCCCACTGGAGATGGGCCTCCCTTCCGCTCCCGGACGCACTCGCCACTAGCTCCACTCCGACTCCTTTTCCTCATCTGCCCTCGTCGTCTCTCTTGTGCCGCGGTGGCGGCGGCGGCTGCTGCTTCTGTTTCTGCTGCTGCTCCTGCCGCCGCTGTCGCCACCGCATTGAATGCCGTTAGAGCTCTTCACACGATCCTACAATCGGATCACTCGCACAAGAGCTTTTCCCTCGTACGCTCTCCAATGAGAAATATGTCACCGAGTCCAGCCCCTCTCCCCCCCCCCCGCCATTAGCAGGGACAATCGGGAGCCATTTCGTGATAACGAATTCCGGCAAGGCTCGTCGCACGACCGCACGATGCCGATGGATGAGCCGCGCGATTGATTGATTGATTCATCCATCCATGGGCCCTTTCTTTGAAGAGTTCTCTGCCTGGTTACTTTGTCGTGCTCAGAATCGTGGAGTTCCGTCCTCAGTTTTTACCACGCTTCTTTCGGGAAGATTCTCCCGCAGCGGAGACGTGCCTGGGTTCAAGTTCCCGGAGACGGTGGTCGTTCAATCGCCGTTCGAGGGGGTAAGGTCCCATGGAGGGAAGCGGGAGCCGAGGCTGAGCATTCAATGCGAGAATGAGCAACTCAAACATGAAGGCGCACCGTGGCAAATCCAGGGGCGAGGGGAGCTCCAGAGATTATCACCACCGACATGATTGCAGAGCGAAAAATGAGACGGTCACTTCCGACCGCGGAATGGGAGGAAACGCAGTCAGCATTCAATGACAATAATTGAAGGCGAGATGTTGTCTGATGGATCTGGAGTCATTCGCCTGCCGCCAACCGGAGTCTTTCGTTCATTCGGTCGTGACCATACTCTTGTTCCGAAGTGAGCGATTGCGATTCGGCATTCCCACCGCGATGCCCGGGTTTCAGCTCCCGAATACAAACCGCCGGAAACATCAGACTAGTGCTTCAGACATCGGGGTGTCCCGCCACAGATCTGGATGAGCTGGTCCAAAACCTTTGTGGTTCGCCTGCCTTCTCCTCTTCCGGGACGTATTCTGGAAGAAACCATCAAGGACTCTCACGTCACGGGAAGCACAGTCCGTTGGTGATAAGCGATACCCCACTGGAATTCCGAATTTCACCGCCCCGACTCGGGAAGGAATGATCGTGGGACATTCGAAAGGTGAACTCTCCCATGGGCGGATGTTCTCTTCTTGAGGGAATTCTTCGAGGATTTCAAGACGGTTCCTTATCCCGCAACCAAATACCGTTCAATGGGTTCACTATCATAATCGAATGTGGATCTGAGTAAGGCGTCGACGGGAGCGGAATCCGACATGGACCACCATCGACGATTATTTCATAACAGCTTTGAATCTTTATTTCCTGCTCTGCCCTAAAACGCTACCATTTTGAGCGTGAATAAAATACAGCGGCATGAGTTACCGGGACGCGAACTGGATGATTTTGTGTTTCAGATACGGGAGAGAGTCTAAGATTTGGACTCCGAGACTGCGAGCGAGAACCACCGGTAGATTCTTGTTCTGGTAGATATGAATCAGACCTTCGATCGCCACCTGAAAAACGAGTCTCGGGTAATTTAGGCACTCTCTGGGTTAGCGAAATTCATTTACGGGAAAATTTTCCGGTCTCGACGCTATCGTTCCCTGAGTACTAGGTGCCGCCCCAATTTACCTGGAAGGGCAGAAGGGCTCGTTGCCTTTCGCGTTCGTACGCTATCAGGGCTTTCATGTCTCCTGGTTGCTCCCCCCGGAAAGCGGCCCCTGCGAGATTCCTCACGAGACACTCTACGTCTGCGAAGCCGAAATTCGCGCCTTGTCCAGCCAGAGGATGCACTCGGTGTGCGCTGTCCCCGACCAACACTGTCCGGGGAACGACATAATTCACCGCATGACCCATACCAAGAGGGTACGACGCCCGCGTCTGTGGATGAACGGCCACCACTCTCGGGGGGGTGACTTTCGAGCAACTCTGTCGCAGCCCGACGGAGTTCATGATGAGCTGCGGAACAGCAGAGAAACGCCGACGTTAAAAATTCGAATTGTCGAATTCTATGTTCTGAGCCTTTTTATCGGTTGAGGCGTATGGGTCGAGATTTCTCAATTTCGAAGAGCGTATCAAGAGAAATCGAACGCACCCGAGTACCGTGCAGCACGGACATCACGCCTTGATTGTAATCTAGCGTATCGGTGAGGTGCCTGTTGAGGGTCTCCACGAACTCTTCGTCGGAAAGCTTGAGGATTTGCTCGGCACAGTCGTCAACCAGGGACCAGATAAGGCAAGCTTTTTTGTTCCCGAGCGGCAACAATGCGACGACGCCTTCGGGCAGGAATCTCTGGAAGGCTGTCCCGTCGACGTCGCTTAGACCGTCCAGATCCACGACGGCGATCACGGATTTCTGTTTGTAGCTCCACGAGACATTCTTCACGCCCATCAGCTTTCGGATTTGCGAGTTGAATCCGTCGGCTGCGATTAAGAGGTCAGTCGTGTGTTTCTCGGGCTCGTCGAAGATTTCAAACGTGACTTTCTCCGGGGGAAACGACCGTCGGTCGAGCGTCGGCAGCTCGATGTTCGTGATCCGGGTTCTGGATCTCAACTCGATGTTCGGTAGCTCCTTCAGTCGCTCGTAGATAGCGTGGAGCAACGCGTGCTGGTCTATATTAAAGCAAACGGTGTCAGGCTCCACGTCCTCGTCGTCTTTGACAAGATCCGAACCCCGGAAATCCAAGGCCGCGTCGCTTTGATTTTCCCAGACGACCATCCTCCGGCAGACGTGTTTCTGCTGGGGCGATAATTTCTGCCAAATGCCTTGATCCACCAGGAACCTGGAGCGAGAGGGGGAAGAAAATTCTTGAGTCGTTCCGTTTCTTTTCGACCTTGCGAGCATGAAGCAATCTCCCCTGGGCATCACCTTCGGGTACCGGGCGTGATCGCGTAAACTCGATTGGACCATTCATTGAGGTTTTGGGGGAACTTAATGTCTCGTCGCTCGACCAATGAAATGGCGCGCTGAGCGAAAGCCGGAGACGCTGCCAGAGCTACCGCCGTTGCGGCGCCGATGAGATTGCCGCCGATCACAGTTATGTCACGGTGAAGGAATCTCCGGCCAACATGATTGTGATTGGTGATTGAGTGTTTCCCGAAAGTGGAGATGTGTCGACACACGAGACGCATGACTGACGATAGGCTCCACACTCGGCTGTAAGTAAACGGCGGTGAAATTCGTAATCATTCGACTTCCCATTCCCGAAGACATTATCCCGAATAATTGCAGCCTCAGCAATCGGAAGGGAAAGTTTCCGCGACACTGCGATCTTCTCCGCCCAGCTGATTGTGGAGCGGGTCGAACGGACGTGAATTCTCCTACGGCGCGGCGGGTACTATGGGATCGATAAGTTTAAGAAACCCAATGCTCACCTGTTAACCCAGGTCGTCCTGCGGACAGAATCAGAATCGAGCTCCGGACAGTCTTTATGCACCAGAACAGTGGAAGAAACCTCGATCAGTAGAAAAATCGAACACCGGAAAAATCGTCTCCTGTCCACTCTCTCATTCTGTTTTGAAGGTGATCAGCTGCTTCTCCGCTGGCGCTACCGACAGCGCGCCTGCTACGCAGCGCCGCCGCTACCGCAGTGAGGGTGTCCACACACTTTTCAATCCGGGCTCCGCCAACAACCTCCCTCCCGGGGTCGCCCCCTCATTGTCCATAATCGTCCATCCTTACACCATATTCATCCCTATCCATATATGAATAGACTCGTTCACCGTACACCTTGCGACGGAGCTTCAGATCAAGTTTGTCCCATGTGACTTTCTGGAAGCTACTGCAGGGGATGGAGCGGAGTGAACTCCCGCAATCCTCGCACTCTCACGGTCCCGAATCGAGGCCATCGTTCCGTTGGCGGAGGGGAGAACCCCTCCGGCTTTCTAGATTCTTCACCCATGGCATAAGACACCCGTATCCCGCGACTCCGTAGACCTCAATCTCACTTCTTGTGAGGAGTCTCGGGTCTCGGTGGCTTCTCCAGCTGCGGAGCACCGGACAATGAGGGAGGGAGTGGAGAGAGATATCCCGAGCCTCGCTGAGCAGGTGTTACGAGCGGGAATCCTATTTTTGATCCATCGAATAGCTATCCGTTCGGATATCACATGGATAGCGCGATGGCTTCACGTTCAGCAGTCGGAGATGCGTTTTCGGCGGAAGCGCTCGACAATTATATGCCAAACATTCCGTTGAGAGCCGTTGATTACCGCCAGGCGTCGTTTTCGGTGAAGGGCCCTCCTGGCGTCATACGAAACACGTGAATACTCGTGACTCCTTCTGGAGTTCAAGTTTTTTCTCGCCGAGACGCAGTCGTGTCTATCCACCGCCAAAATTTGAAGCAGACAGAAACCCGAGAAAAACAAATGCTCGATCGCTCGCGCTCATCTGCTGTATAGAGCAGACAGATTCTGAGTAGTCGCGAATCCTGATTGTTTGGGCGCCCACTTCACCGCCGAATTCTCTGAGTGGACTGTTTCCGGATACTGCAACGGAACGGGCATCGAGCCATCTCGCAACACCTGTGAGTCGACATTATATCCGTCGATTCCCGCGATAAGCGCCGTTCTATCGATCGCGCCAGGCAGTGAACTTTTCTCCGAGACCGAGACCCTGTTATGCAGAAGACGTGATGAATTGAACACCTGACTCAGAGAGGTATAGGAATTCCACAGAAGTTATAGCCATCGGAAGTTGTGCTCCTCCGTATCTTGGGCGAGTCCCGCTGCGGCTCGATCTGTGGACCTCCGGTCAACATAGTTGGCACACCCACTGTCGCTGTACTCGGAACAATCGAACACTCGGACTATCTTCATCCACATCCGAGCCGATGTATCGTCTCAGAGATTCAGATAGTTCAGACTGTGATAGTTCGGATGGAGAAACGAGCTGGAAGAGAGCGCCGAGAGATACTATCGACAGGCAAACGGTAGGAATTCGAAATCTATTTTGTGTATTCGAGAATCTCTCACGCAGCGGAATCCCCCCATGGAGGAGTTGACAACGTCGAGAATTTCTTCGTTGAGAATCAACCCGAAATTCCCCTGAGCACGCTCTCGGTGACGAATGGTTGTGACGTCTGGAATTCTTTACTTGCAGACCGCCGGGGATCCCCCTGTCGCGTCTCCGAAACACTCGAGCGGCGCGAGACGGAAAAATCGCATTTGGGGAGATGTCGTCCAAGAAGAGGCGCTCACGATGAACATGACGGCTGTAAGTTTTCTGTCGCTCGGTGGAGCTCATCGGCACATTGACTTTGAGCTTCCGTCTGAACGCCTGAGAAGAAAGGAGCAAGTGATGCACAGTGGATAATTACAAGGCGTTGACAAGATCCCTCCGTGCCCTTGCTGTCTGGGCCAGGTCTTGGGAGCAGCTAGCGTCTCCGAGCGATGGAATGAGGCTTTTACTCTTTAAATTGAAGGGGTTCGGCGTTCAAGTTGTGCACAAAGACCTCCGCGAGGATCGAGGTGTCGAGAGTTACGATTTCACGAAGGCGCGCTTCGATCCGAGACCTGCATTGGAGCCAGTCCCCACTGAAATCCCGGAGAAGCTCAAGGAATTGAGGTGATTCTTCGCTCCAGCTCAGCGGTGTCCCGGGCGAATAGCTCGATCCGATTTCGAAACACCTGCTTCTAGAATTAATGATTTATGATTGAAGAAAAGAGTTTCGATCGCTTGGTCATACGACTTTGAATAATCATTTCAGAGCGGAGAGGGCGAAAGAACTGCGGAGCCGGCTCGGAGTTCCGGAAGCCATCGACAAACTCGGACGTGATCCAACCACCGATAAGGTCGTTCAGGAGATCTGTCGGCGATTGAAAGAACCAAAAGTGAGTCCTGATCACCTCAAGTAGCACTCCTCAGGACTAACCCACATTCTGATACTTTCTTTGTTCCTTGCAGTCTGATCTCATAGGAAGAGCTGTCAGCGAGATCGGGACGGACTTGGCTACTGATTTACTTTACGCTGCCGAAACCATAGAAGCCAATGGAGGTCTCATGATCAACAATGGGAGCAGGAGGAGAACGCCCGGTGGAGTGTTCCTGCATTTATTACGAAATGACAAACGCGTCGATAAAGAAACCGTGGACAGAGTCTTCGAAGCCGAAACGCAAGCAAGGAAGGTTGAAGCCAAAAAGCGCAAGAGATCGGCGGTGGAGAGAAAAGCCGCGAGAGCAATTCGTGCTCTCGAGGCTAAGATGTTCGGCGACAACAACAGCCGATCCCAGAGCTCGAATGATGACGAAGACGAAGGGATGGATCGAGCGCCTCCGAAAAAAGTTGCGCCCGCAGAAAGAGCTCGATCGGGAACGAGCGACCTCGAAGACGGGGAGATCGACGACTGAGATGCGGGCATCAATGTCCACCGATTAGCGATTAGGTATCATACAATAAGTTTGAATTCAGTGTCCGATTTCGGCTCTCCATCGGGCTGATGGAGAACCGCTGAATCAGGCCGAACCCTGAAAACGAATTCAATGTATATGATGCATAGATGTGATTGTGGTCTGAATAAAGTTCGGATCAATCGGCATCTTTGTGAAGTCAAGAGTATGTTAATCTATGAGAACCCTGATCTATGAGCTGAGGTCGTCTCGAACGGGGGAACTGTTCTCGGCCGATGTCGTTCTCTCCATGGAGGGATTCTGATGAGGTTCATGTATTTCTGTGAGCAGGTCCATCTATAGCGCAAGGCCATTCGCCGCGCTTTCAATTGTCCCTGTCGTTGTCGTGCTATATCGATCCAGTGCAGAATGAAGGCAAGAGCGATGGATGAAATGTCCGACTCCCGTTCACTAGAATTCGGAATAATCCAAACATCGGATGCTGCTCAGCTCCTAGGGGACACTACCTGATCGGGTTCGCCCGAGGCATTGAAATTTGACTCTGAGGGAAACTGATCCGCTTCAGCCCTTGGAAACCAGGGACGAATACCGCATTTCCTTTTGTTGGAGGGCATGCCTCACATTTTTCCAAGCTACGCTCGAGGTCCCCTGCTTTCGGAGCGTGCCCCTCAGTTTTTTCGATCAGATAGGGAAAAAACGGACTTCTCCCGAGCTCAGCCGAGCAATAGCGGAAGAAATATCGGTTTTGTGGAGTGGTGGTGGATTAGGTATGATTACGAGTTCCATCGATCACTATCTATCCGGTCATGTTGCTTCGCTCAGAGTTGCCGGTGAAAATGCAAGACCGGCAGGCTGTTTCTGCGTTGCGTGGTCGTAGCTCGTAGGGTCTCAATGACTCTCAAAGTGAGAGTTGTAAACCCCTTGCACAGAAGAGGGTCATTTCGCGCCGCTGGGTCGATTGCGTCGAGATTTTCTCGTCATTCATATGTATATGAGTTGAGAAGCCTAACAAAAAGGGATGCTGAAATCAGAAATGCCCTCTAGAAGACAGGTCATGACGTCTCCCTAGAATATTATTACCTTCTAGATAGTGGTTTATAAGCACTCGCAATAACGGAATACGACGCAGTCCTTGCCTATCCCTCGGAGCCGCATACCCGTCCTCGAGCGAGCTCTCGTCAGAACTCCAGCGATCCTCGATCGTCGAGATGTTCCCCAAATTTTTCGGCGTTCTCGTTCTGACTCTCGCTTCGATGGCTCTAGCGGAAGACTTCACCTACCATGATGACGGTGTCCCGAGCTGTCCGGTACGCGACGACGCTAAGGGCAATGCAACGATCGTGCCCGATCCCTTCAACTGTACCACATTCTACATCTGCTCGAATGGAGTGTCACACCATATACAGTGTCCCGATAACCTGCAAGTAAGTCTCGGGAATGCTCGATCCGATTGACTGCTCTATTCTTTATACTCTCATCATCAGTCGCACGAAATGAGTCTGGGAACCGTCACTTTCAGTTCAACACGAATCTCCGCGTCTGTGATTGGCCCGAAGAAGTTCAATGTGAGTTGTTCGAACTCCCCGGGGAAGACGGTCTAGCGGGTGTCCGTGTGAGGACAATCTAGGGTCGAGACAACTTCAAAGCGCCATCCCGGATTCAGCCGAAGCTAATTCATCCCAATTGCTGTTAGAGAGATCGGTCGCATGATAGCTGAGATTAGGCTCTTCCGGTTGATCAGCGATGCCTCGCGAGGGAATTTACGAAAGTTCTTTGATATTGTGCACTGTACTATCTACGGTGATATAAAACTCAAAATGCGATATCATTGACGAATATTTGTATTTATTCGTATATATCAACACATGCTGTACATATATCACCAGGAATTGTAAGATGAATTAGGCTTTGTGCAAGACAGCAGTGCTTCCGTAGGTGCCAGAGTGTGCGTAGCCCAAACCATAGGTGGTAAGACCGGGAGCGGCATAGGCCGAGTATGCGGGAGCGGCATAGGTCGAGTATGCGGGCGCGGCATAGGTGGAAATAGCAGCGGGGGCAGCGTAACTAGTGATTGCAGCGGGAGCGGCGTATGTGGAGATGGCTGCGGGAGCGGCATAGGAGATGGCAGCGGGGGCAGCGACGGCAGCGGGACCGGCCCGGACGACTTGGGTGGGAACATCGTTTCCTCCGACGTGGATTTCAGGAGCAGCATGCTGCTGCTCGGCAACAAGCTCAACGCGAGCCGGCGGAGCGGGGGCACCACGGATATTGATGATCTGGTCACCGGGTCTGGCGGGGTTGACAACATCGTAGACCTGGGCGTTAGGGTTCTGGAACACCTGTCGCTGAACTTGAGTAGGTCCGTCGCGGGAGATGAGACGGATGTGGTTAGCGGGGGCGGCGGGTCCTTGAACGTTGATCACCCGGGTCGGGGCTTGGGGAGCATCGTGGACACGGATGACTTGTCCGGCGGCGCGGTGTTCTTCGACCCGGATGGAGTTTCCAGCGCCTCCAGTGTGGATTTCGTGGGAGCGGACAGAAGGAGCAGGGGCGCTCACAACGGCGGCGCTCGCAGCGGGAGCACTGACCACAGCAGGGGCGGCCACGCTGTAGGAGACGGGGGCAGCAGCAGCGGCATAGGCAACCGGAGCGGCAGCATAGGCGACCGGAGCGGCAGCGGCGTATCCATAGGAAACGGGAGCCGCCAAGCCATAGGATGAAGATGAAATGGTGGAGTAGGTGTTGTGGACCGCCGAGGCAGAGGAGGCGACGAGGGCCACTCCGAGGATCTGGAAGCACTTCATGTTTATGAGTCGGCGGTTGCTGCTACGAGAAGACTGCGTAGTTCGGCAATCACTGTGGCTTTTATTTCGGCGGTTCAGCAGATGCCACCGAAGCCTTGGGGAGCCGGAGTTATCTTTCACGCTTTCCCTTGGGCGGCCTGAATGCCCGACGGCGGGCACGGTCGGTTGCCCCCTCTTTCTTCTTGTTTTTTCTTCTGAACGAAAAAACCTCGCGCATGGCGACTCTCCGCGCACAACAATCGGAAGACGCGAAACTTCTTCTTCCAATCGATGGATTTAGTGGCTGGTGCTTCTTCTGTCGTCGTCTTCTCCTCTTTCTTCTGGGGGCTGCTTCGGATCTCTCGAGCACCGTCTGATAAGGGTTCTTAACCCGTTCTCTGTAACCGATGGCAGCGACAGACGAAGCGAGAGCTGGTTTTATCTTCATCGGTTTCCCTCCGGAATTTCCCCGGGTTCCAGTCTTCGGTTCCGGAGTTTTCTTTCCGACAATGGCTTTCGTTCGCCGTTCAGCATTATTCGCTAGATCGAGAAACCGGTCTCGACGCGAGTCTCAGAATCGGCCTCGCTCCGACTCGCCAGGCTCTCACTCCCTGAGCCTTGTCCGGAGAGGATAATCCATCCGTATATTCCGTGTGCACTGAGCTCGGGAGTAACATCGGGGTCCTCCACCGATCCGATCCCGATGCGGGATACGGATTGGTTCATTTTCCCATTTGTAACTGCAAAGGTCCTCAGAGGCTGATAGTTCCGGAGTAACGGGCGATCTTCAGACATCACGCAAGGGTCCGTCGCGGGCCGAACTCCATGATGAGGCGTTGAGGGCTCATGCTTCACCGATGAAGGTCAAGCGACGTTTATGTTCATGAACCATTCGTCGACGAGCACCGACGCGTCCTCTTGACCTCCTCAGATACCTATTATGTACATTCCCAAGATCCGAATCCGAAAGGCATCGTAGTATGTGGATTCGTTGATCGAGATTCGAAAAGTTTCCGAAATATCCATGTGTTCACGATAGTACACGAGAATTACACCTTGACAAATACGTGGTCGGCATGCGACACAGAAAACGGGGTCGTCAAAGCCGCTTTCGGAATGGAGGGGCATCTTTTCTAGAGAAGTCACGATCCGATTTCTCTCAGAATAGGTACATTCCGATATCGACTGGGACTTATTGTTAGATCCTAGATCTCGCTAAAGCTTCTGTAAGAATTCCGATCGACGCGACCCACTTCCAGGACGACTGATCCGCGAGCTGATGGCCACTGCTCGGATAATAATAGAGCTCGAACAAGGTGGTCATTTCAGTGAAAATATCTGATATTATGTAAACCCCACGAAGATAATTTTTTATTCAACAATTCAATCGAGCGAACGACTTCAAGAGGATGCTTTCTTCGCTTTCTTTCCCACGATGGTGGTGCCGTACGAGTTCCCCCCGAGGCCGTAGTTCAAGCCGTATCCTCCGAGGCCGTAGCTCGAACCATATCCTCCAAGACCGTAGCTCGAACCATATCCTCCAAGACCGTAGCTCGAACCATATCCTCCGAGACCGTAGCTCGAACCATATCCTCCAAGTCCGTAGCTCAAACCTGATCCTCCGAGACCGTAGCTCAAGCCAGTTCCGTAGGAGACAGCGGGCGCGGCAATGGTTCGCACTCCTGAGGAGTAGGAGACAGCGGGGGCGGCAGCGAAGGTTTGGACGGCAGGAGCGGAAACGGCATAAGATGCGACGGGAGCGGCAGCGATGCCACCACCGACTGCACCGAGAACGGCAGTGCTCGTCAGACCCCCTCCGAGTCCGCCTCCGACGTGTTGGACTTGGATGTTGGCTTCATCTCCGCCGACGTGAATTTCGGGAACGCCGTGGTGTTGTTCGGCTACCAGCTCAACTTGGGCAGGGGGGGCGGGCGCTTTGCGGATGTTAATGATTCGGTCTCCGGGCTGAACGGGGTTGACCACATCGAAGACTTGAACATTGGGATCTTGGACGACGGAGCGCTGAACTTGAGTGGGGCCGGTGCGGGAGATGAGGCGGATGTGGTTGCCAGCGGCGGCTGGTCCCTGGACGTTCAGGACCTCAGTTCCGAGTCTCTGGCCGTCGTGAACACGGATGAGCTGTCCTCCAGCTTTGATCTCCTCGATGCGGATGGCGTTCCCTGCACCGCCGGTGTGGATCTCGTGGGAGCGGATTCCGCCACCGTTTCCAGTGACGATGGCTCCTCCACCGATTCCACCTCCATAGGAAACGCCAGAACCGATCCCGGTACCGTAGGAGATGCCAGAGCCGTATCCGGCGCCGTAACCTCCGTAACCTCCGTAACCTCCGAGGGACACTGCGGGCGCGGCAGCGACGGAGATCGCAGGAGCAGCCGCCACGGAAACGGTGGGCGCAGCGGAAATCACCGATCCGGTGCTGTAGCCGACGCTCGCGGGGGAACGCACAGCAGCGTAGCCGGAGACGGGCGTCGCGTAACTGACCGACGGGGCATAACTGCTCCCGTAAGAGAGTCCTCCAATGCCAAAACCGCCCAAGTTAGAACCGTAGCCGGAAATGATTTGGCCTCGAGCAGCGGTAGCTACCAAGGTGACGGCAAGGACTTGGAAGGCTCTCATGATTGAGAGGAGATGGTAAACTAGAAGACCGAAGCCAACTGTGATGCAAACTAGTGCTAGTCAGGCTTTTATAGTCAAGATTAGTAGTTTGAATTCATAACGAGCCGCAGAGAGAATGAGTGAGGAGTCCGCACGTGACAAATCTACCGGGAGCGAACTATTCGAATCATTCCGATCGCATAGCTAAGCGCCGACGGAAGTCGCTTGCTCTCCTAACTTCGGAGCGAATTTCTTGAGGAGTCGCTTCCGGTGACCCGGTGATTCGTCCCGGTGTCCCCGGAGGAATCGGTGGCACTAGCCTGCGGCGCGCTGTAGCGGGTTGGGTTCTGCTCCGAAAAGCTCCAAGGTCCAGCGCCTCTCCGAAAGTTGACGACGCTGAGGTGCCCGCGTGCCCTATTTCGGCCCTCCGGAAGCATAGCGACCGAACGATATGCCATTCCGGGCAAGCGAAGGGAACCCGGCACTCGAGCCGAATTTCCGCCCCTCAGGCATGGATGCTCTCCAGTGATCTCCCACGGTTTCTCGCATGAAGTTGTGGAGAATCGCTACTTGAAAAATCTCCATGGAAAATTAAGACCTTTGCAATCGCTTATCAACTATCCGGTGATCATATAGGGGGGATATACATATGATCTTCCCGGCAGAAAACGAGGCGAGCCCCCCCGCCAGTGAACGAGCCCCATCCGAAGTTCGGGGATTCGCACTCCGCAGGAAGGAAGATCGTACGCTTACCAGAGGCATCGCAATCATTCACCTTCAAGTTCCCGGAACGGGTCAAGCTAGGAATAGCTGATTCAAGGTCATCCAATATTAGACGGTTATCGAAGATTCTCCTGTCGGGATTCAGGAGATGCACACGATGTCCACGGCATTCTTCCTCGATCCCGATAAAAGACTCCATAATTTCTATCACCCTCTCCCGGGTTTGTCGATGACTTTCTCTTGCTAATGTGCCGAGAACTCGAGAGGAATCCGAATTTCAGAAGCTTGACCCGAGAAGAACCACAGCGCGTCTCGGGTATATTCTTGACCGCCCGGAATTCCCCCTACTCTTGAGGATGGGAAAATATTCAATATTCCATTTTGGTGGACAAGTACCCTGTTTATTTTCTAACGATAAAAGTATAACACTGAGTCTCCCATCAATAGTTATTTCTGAAAACTCTCGTTCGGGGCGTGGAGATCTTTCTTCTCTGCGGTAGCGTCGGCGTCACTCGGGGTCGCTGTCGGGACTGAATGATTTCTTCTTCATCCCTTTCAAGATTCTCAACGCGAACCGCATTGTCAGTATCGTCGAGCACCGTAACTTGCGGTTCGGTAGACCCTTCATTGACGAATTCAATGGTCGCCGGTGGATCCAGTTCTCGTCTCACCTGCAGAATGGTCGGCGCCGGCTGGACTGGTTTTTCCACGTGGAAAACATTCACTCTCGGGTCTTTGATAGAAACTTGTTCGATCCTCGGAGGCTCATCCCGATGCAGAAGCCGGATCTGGTTGTAGGGGTCTGTTTGGAAGGCGAAAACCTGGGTTCGTTCTTGGCTTTGCCGGAGTTCTCCCGGCTCGGAGACTAGCGCTTGACGCGAGATCGGTATGAGTTGATTGGGTGCAAGAAAGAGTCCACGTTGACTGCCATCACTTATCGGCGCAATGCTTTGGTGGAGTAGTTGAATCGGCTGCAAAGATTGTGTGTAGGTGGGCACTCCTGCGCCCTGCAAGTATGAATGGAAGAGTTGCGCGGCAGGGAGCGCCGGCTGCTGTTGGAAAGAGCCACCGTTGAGATATGTTGTGGGGATTCGGTTGACCGTCTGAGAGGAAGTGAGAACCACTAGAGACGAAGCGGCGAGCAGCGATACGACCTTCATGACTTGACAGAGCACTGGGGCGGCGTTCCTCCACTCAGTTGTGGTATTTATAGCAGAACGATTGTATTCGATCACCGCCGTCTGCACGAGAGCTCAGTCAGTAGGGCATGAGAGGATATTTTTATCCTTTCATTCATTCCCCGTATCTCTTTTTCCATGCTCAGGGTCTGCTGATCCTTCCCCCCCTATTTTGTATTCGGAAGCCGACCGAGCGCGCCGCCGCCGCTAACCTGTTTCCAGAGCGTCGGCTCCTTACCCTCAGCGCTCGGTGTGACCCGCTCGGCGAAAACCGAGATAACACCGCCCTGTTGCTAGGGGCAATTTATAATAATGTTTTCACTCGTCGGGGACCTCGGGCCGACTCCGTTGGATCGACGGATAAAGTCCGTAATCTTAACAACGGGCATGGCAGAAGCAAAACCTGTCTGCGATCTTCACCCTCGGGAAGAGGCGATGCACCTTCGGAAAATAAGCCGATCACGATCCGATCCTCGTGGCTCGGGGAACGAGAAGGATCGTGGACACGCACTCGATTGCCCGGAATTGTATTCGGGGCTGTGTCGAATCTTCCGAGTTTTGCTGCCGATGTGATGCAGTGCAAGCAGGGACGAAAGCCGTGCCGCCGGAGGAAAGGGCACCCCATATTCGGACCGGGAGAGTGGAAGATGTTGTTCTTGAGTCCGTACTCAGCAGCACGCGTGGAATTTCCACGGAAAGTCCGGATTTTCCCGGATCCTTATCGGCTGTTGGTTCTCTCTACTTATCCTTTTCTCCTCTGGTTTTCTGTAATAGCTCCCCGTCGAGATGTCACGTTCTTGGGAGATTATAGGAACCCGTAGTCGAAAGTTGAATCCAGGAATCTCGAATTCGATATTGGCCGTGATCTTTCTTCTGCCAATAATTTGAGTGATTGTTGTCACTGCAGTTTGGCCGTTTCTGTTGACGTGATCGCTCGACTGGTTGACGTGATTTATCGGTTATATCAGAAATTCTCCCATTCAGAGCCAGAAACCCGATCAAGCGGTAGAAGCCTTCGTGTGTGCTGACTACATAGTTATCGGCGCAGACTCCTTTGTTCTACTAATACTATGAATGCAAATGCGCTACGCGAAACTTACAAATCCGTACCGTTGAGAAGCCAAAATGTCTGAAGGCCAAAGGCACAAGTCGACGGCTTCGTCTATCATTCTTTCTGATCCCCGTCATGCGATGGTTCTTCTTTATTCAGATCAACGAATTTCTAAACTCGGTATGATTCGTTTGTCGAGCACTCCAAGACGGGCTAATTCCTTCATGTACCAAATCTCCCGAATGCGAAGGAATTATCATGATAGTCTGAGTCAGACTATAGTGATAATCAGACTGTCTGACTTATGAGTCTCCTGGAACCTGAGGCTTGACCGAGATTGATCCAAGATGCAAGATTCGAATTCAACAAATATTTATTAGAACGAACTTAAAAACAGCCGCATTACGAGGATTTTGCTTTGGAAGCAGCAGCGCTGGCTTTCTTAGCGTACGACGACACAATAGCCGGAGATCCATAGCCGAGTCCGTAAGTGCTTTGGCCGAGACCGTACCCAAGGCCGCCACCGTAGGTGACCCCACCCAGGCCGGAGCCGTAACCGCTGGTGTATCGCACGCTACCGAGTCCAGTTCCGTAGGAGATTCCGCTTCCGTAACCGAGCCCCGAACCGTAGGAGATTCCGCTCCCGTAACCGAGTCCAGTCCCGTAGGAGATTCCGGTTCCGGTTCCATAGGAGATAGCGGGTGCAGCCCTGGCGACTGTGATTGCGGGTGCAGATCTTGCGACAGTGATGGCGGGAGCAGAAACGGTCCTTACTCCTCCTCCGATGAGTCCTCCGCCAACGAGGCCTCCTCCGATGACACCGCTCCTGATTACGCCTCCTCCGACGAGACCTCCTCCGATGGTTCCTCCGCCAACGAGCCCTCCTCCGATGGCTCCTCCGGCTCCGACATCGTCCGCGTAGTAGACTTCGTGAGAGCTTCCTCCGTCCTGAACGAACTCAATTGCGGGAGGTGGGGATTGTCCCTTGACAACTTGGACAATGCGAGCTCCGGGACGACCGGGCTTCTGGACATCGATGACTTGAGTGGGCGCGCGGCCCACAACGCGCTCGACCTGGGCGCGACCAGAACCGTGGTTGATGACCCGGACGTGATGCTGTTCCCCGGGAACTTGGACCTGAGCCACCTGAGGACCCTCTTGCGGTCCTTCGTGGACACGGATGACTTGATCCCCAGCTTGGAAATCTTCGATACGGATAGCTTGATTTCCAGAGCCGGTGTGAATTTCGTGAGAGCGGACAGTGGCGGCTCCTCCAGCGGAAATCACGCCGACGTTGACGGGGGCGGCGGATACGCCCACGGTCGAGATGGCGGGAGCAGCCGAGATGGTAGAGTAGGCGGGGGCGGCCGAAATGGTGGAGTAGGCAGGGGCGGCCGAGATGGTGGAGTAGGCGGGGGCGGCCGAGATGGTAGAGTAGGCGGGAGCAGCAACGGTCGCAACACGGGTAGCGATCGGCGCGGCCGCATAACTGACAGCAGGTCCCGCAGAGATGGTTCGGGCAACGCTGACCGACGCGGGAACGGAAGTCGCGTATCCTCCGAGGGAGCTCAAGCCGCCACCAAGAACGGTTCCGTAGCCGCTGCCGCCACCGAGAACGGTTCCGTAGCCGCCGCCGCCACCGAGAAGGGTTCCGTAGCTGGATCCGAATCCGCTTCCGTAGCTGGATCCTAATCCGCTTCCATAGCTGATTCCTCTGGACGAGGTGATCAGCTGAGAGCGGACAGCGGCAACGCCGAAGGCGGCGAACAATACTTGGAACGTTCTCATATTGCTCCCGCTTTTTCAAGTTCACGAGTGAACTGTACCACATTCTCGGCGCCCTTGCTCTTTTATACTAATCGACGACTAACTACGAATCGCGCGATTCACTCTGAGAGGAGGAACAGCGCTTCTCTGCTGCTCCTCTTCAGAAAAAATCCTTATACCGTCTCTTTTGATTGAGACGGATGCCAATCATAGCGCTGGTGTTACATCTCGGAGAAATCATGAAACCACTATGGGCAGAAAAGTCGATCGCTCGCTACCCGGAATGATATTGAATACCGGGAGTCACTGTGAGAGATCCCTAGGAATACCAGGAAATCATCAAGACATGACATTGGTTTTCGCTCTGTCAGCAGTCAATGCCCATGAAACTGGACCTTCAGAGAGAAGGGCACGGTGCCAACGGCAGAGAATGCTGCAAGAGACCCACGAAGCATGCGAGGAAAGCTCCGATGGAGCTCCGGGGTGGGGCCCCTAGAGATTGATTTCAATCCAGATGTATCGCGCAGAAAGATAGTCGAGTCGTTTATTTGTGTACAATGAGAGCAAAGCGAGCTTAGGCCTTGGCGATGACAGCAGTGCTTCCGAAGTTCCCGGTGCTTGAAGAGCCACCGAGGGATCCGGAGTAGGAGATCGAGCTGGGGGCGGACAGGTAAGAGGCACCAGAGGAGTAGCTGGTGGTGTAAGCGGGGGCGGCGGCGTAGGAGGTTGCGATCGGGGCAGAGTGGTAGGTGGCAGCGATTGGGGCAGAGTGGTAGGTGGTAGCGACCGGGGCAGAGTGGTAGGAGGTTGCGACAGGGGCAGAGTGGTAGGTGGCAGCGACGGGGGCAGCGGACACGCCATCGTTAGCGTGGTAGACGTAGTGGTTCGAGCCACCAGCGTTGACGAATTCCACACTTGGGGCGGGAGATTCTCCTCGGACCACTTGAACGATGCGAGCTCCGGGACGTCCTGCCTTCTGGACGTCGAAGACCTGGGTCTCCTGTCGTCGAACGACTCGTTGGACTTCAGCGGGTCCGGATTGGTGGTTGATGACGCGGACGTGGTGTTGGTCCCCGGGAACCTGGATCTGGGAGATTTGGGGTCCAGCTTGAGCAGCTTCGTGGACACGGATGAGTTGATCACCGGCTTGAACTTCCTCGATTCTGATCGCTTGACGGCCAGAGGCGGTGTGGATTTCGTGGCTCTTCACGGAAGCAGGGGCGGCTGCCGCGATGGTCTGGGTGTAGGCGGGAGCGGCAGCGGCGACGGTCCGGATGGTAGCCGGTGCGGCGGCATATCCGTACGTGGCAGGAGCGGCGGCATATCCGTACGAAGCGGGAGCGGCAGCATAACCGTAATAAGCTGGAGCGGCAGCGTACCCGTACGAAACGGGAGCGGCGGAATAACTCACTGCCGCGGGCGTTTGAGTGTAGCCAGCGCTGTACGAAGCTCCTCCGAGCCCGTACGAGGAGCCGTAGGAGGAGCCGTAGTAGGAGCCTCCGAGGCCGTTCTCGTAGCTACTCAAAGCAGAAGCGGAGGCCGCAGCCAAAGCGATACAAGCAACCTGGAAAGCTCTCATTTTGTGGCGGTTGGCAAAACACTGATTTCGAATTCGGTTCCAGATGCCACCTTTATACCCAAAGTTGTTCGAATGGTTCAACGGCCTGACATGAGGGCATCGGATCGAGGGCTTATCTGATAGCGACTAGCAGAGATCACCGCTGCAGTTGTTTATTGTCGGACGATGGCGTTTCTGTGCACAACAGAAACCGACTCGGATCTCTCTCATCCTCTCTCTTGGTTCTCCATTTCGGGCTCTTGTTTACTTCATCCAAATTTCGATCAACCAGCCAGACAGTCGCCCAAAGCGTCGAATACCACGAACGAGACGGAGCGAGACGAAAGCGTGATCGAGTCCGATGTCGTTGATCGCTCGCCCCACGCGGTCATGGGGACCGTCATTATGCGTCGGATGCTCAATAGTCGAGACTTCACCTCGACAATTTCCTTGATAATCGGCATTTCTTTCCTCGATTACCTGTATTAGCAGAGAATGCCTGTCTACTCCTCAATCTCCTCGAAGCCCGATCGTCCAACGAAGGGTGCCCTCTTGCCGGTCTGATTCCCTCTGGAAGTTTGATAGGGAACATCTCCCGTACAGCTCGAGTGATCTCCTGCAATATTTTCAAGCCTCCAATCTAGCTATATTCCTAGTCATCGTTGAATCACTCATCTCATACATCATGAGGTAGATGCGGGGTGCCCGTTCAATGGAGAGGACCATGAGACAGTTCCCTTCGAACACAGGGCAAGAGCTCATATTCTAATCCCTCGATCGGTGCCCGCCTGTCAGGGCTTACCCCTCTAATAATATTATAGAAGGAACCCTTCTGATAGTGACAAGAGGTCCTCCGATAAAGAAAATCGTTTCTCCGAATCCTTGGAGCTCGAGTGTCCTCCGCGATAGAAGTTCTCACTCAGTCAGAGATCTCCGTTGGGAAAAAGGTCCGTGCTGTTGAAGTCGGGGTTTCGCGTTCGTCGAATGGAAGCCCTCGTATTGACCAATCGTACGACCCGATCGCAATCTTCGAAGGGACGAATAAAAATTCTGTCCATGCCTTCATTGAAGAAAAAAGCTCCGGAACAAATGCGTGGATCTTGGGGACGGAGCCAAGATCGCTCTCGGGTGCGTATTATCACGGGACATAGTGCATTATGGAAAGCATGCCTACAGGCAACCGACATAGAAGACAGGCAGACCATCATCGAAATTTGGAAGAGTGGTTCACTGACAAACCAACACGCATCCATGAACAGTGAGAAACCGATATCAGGAAGGTCAGAACCCGGAGTGGTATAGTTCTGCCGCCGCCGCCGCCGCTGTACATCGCCGAGCTATATAATGAAAAGACTAGTCGATTGTCTTCACAGTCGATCAACAGCATCTACAACATCAAGTGAGCGGCAATGAAGGCTTTCCAAACAATCTGTGTGGCTTTGGCGGCAGCCACTCTCGGTCAGGCCCAATCGGTCTCCTACGGAACCTCGTCCTACGGCTCTGGTGTTGTCTACGGAGCCCCATCTTACAGCTCCGGTATCTCCTACGCGTCGGCCCCCACGGTATCCACCGTTAGAACCCAATACGTTTCTGCCGCCCCCGCCATCTCCACGATCGCTGCCGGTCCTGTCGTCAGCCGCGCGGTCACCCTTCAAGCTGCCCCCGCCATCTCTGTGGCTGCGGCTCCTGTTCAGCAAATCGCCGTTGCCGCCGCTCCGGTCCAACAAATCGCTGTCGCTCCCGCTCCCGCACAAGCTGTCAACTTGGGAGTCGTAGCCACCGCCCCCGCTGGCGGTGTCCGCACCCACGAGATCCACACCGGATCCGGCCGTCAAGCAATTCGCATCGAGGAGGTTCAAGCCGGAGACCAGATTATTCGAGTTCATGAAGCTCCCCAAGCCGGGCCTCAGATCGCTCAGGTTCGCGTTCCCGGAGAACAACATCACATTCGCGTCGTCAACCACCAATCCGGTCGAGCCCATGTCGAACGCGTTGTCCAACGTCAGCAGACCCAAGTTTTCAACGTGCAGAGACCTGGCCGCCCCGGAGCTCGAATTGTCCAGGTGGTGAGAGACCAAGCTCCCGCTCCCTCTGTCGAGTTTGTCGAAGCCGGCGGATCGAACCACCACGTTTACCACGCCAACGATGCGGCTCAAGCCGCTCCTGTCGCACTCCAGGCAGCCCCCGTCGCTCTTCAGACCATCCAGGCTGCCCCCGTCGCCATCCGAACTGTTCAAGCCGCACCCGTCGCCCTCCAGACTGTCCAGGCCGCTCCCGTCGCCATCCGAACCGTCCAAGCCGCTCCCATTGCCTACCAGGCCGCTCCGATCGCCTACCAAGCCGCTCCCATCGCCTATCAAGCTGCTCCCATCGCTTACCACCAGGCTCCGTCTACCCTCATCGGTGGCGCCTCTTACGGCGCTTCTTACCGATACTAGTTCATCGTAAAGAATAAATGTCGATGCTCGCTCATTCCATGGGAAACTTGAGTTTCTTTGACCCATTGAGCATCCGGATCGCCGCGAGGCGGCAGGGTCAGGCATCTCGAGCTCACCTACATGTAGACACGATCTAGTCTTTTTACTTAGTATCAGGCCCGACGGAAGACGTCGAGTCTCATGACCGCAAAGGTTTTCGTGAAAGCGCCTGTTGGAAGGGCCAATTCCAATGGTTCGCACATTGACGTGTTTCTAGATGTTTTATGCAAATACTTCGTACAGCGTACGCTCGATCCATGAAACTGGTCAATGAAGACGGTTCGATGCTTCAATCCCAGAACCCCAGCTCCAGGTGATCAAGGCCGGGAGGTCAACCAAAGAATGAGATAGTCATGAACGCGAGCTTCAGCGCCAAAAAGAACTCGGTATCTGATTCGATCTTCACGGGCGCTACAAATCAGATCATTCCGCATGCGGCTCCTCGCGGATCCGCCGATGAGGATAGCGGAGCGTCGCCATGATCGAGAGGAAAAATGGAGCGAGATGGCCTGGATTGCAGCTGAAGGTACTTGATGTCCGGCTGCTCAGAATCCGGAATACCCCATGACTTTTGGCGCAACCTTTCGATATCTCGAGAGGCTTCCAGCAGCCTTTCGGTGTAGATCCGACATCGTCATTCCCCCGCCTCGATTACTTGAAATCTCTCCTCGAAGTCTGACCGCATCATGAAGAGCCATCCGAGGAATCAGTGCTGAAGAGAACTGGGCCGGGTACGAGTATCGAATTCCAGGTCAAGCTTCCGCCCGTTTTCATGTGCATTCAGCCTTGGATTGTCCAAAAAAATCGCAAGTGGTGATGCCTGATGTGATCGAATCCTCACCCGTTCCCAAATAATGAGCTTTGAATGAACAAGCGAATTATAGAATAAGAGCTCTCATCGAATATATGCGCCTCCGATGCTTCAGGCTCGCGCATCAATGAGAAAACGCCGAAGCACTTTTCTTTTTCTGTCCGATCAAGGATGTACCCAAACCCTGGAATAATGGACTTTTTATCGCTGCCGCAGTATTTGTCGCAGTGATTTATGATGCAATCGACTTTCGCCACTTTCAGCTTTCGTAGGATATGTAGAGCAGCGATAGGCTCATCGGTCATCAGCCCTTCAAACGCTTCAGCAACAATGTAAAGCTATCCGAAACACTCTCTCAGAAGTCAGACACCGGAGATGATTCGGTGTTGAGGGAATAGATTACAATTGACTTCGGATATGGGGAGAATCTCGCGACCGCTGGACCCTCTTTTGGATCCTGACCCATCTTGGCAAGAGAGAAAATTCATATCCGAATCGAGAAACCACGATACGAGATTGTCGCGTTCCTTGAACCACAATCAGCTCCTCGAGTCTCCCATAGAGGGTTCGGTACATGCGCGACGGATACCGCTTATCGATCGGAGGAAAAAGGCAAGATATCGATTACGAAAAACGTTCATCCAACTTTATGGGAATTTACAATACAAAGCTCCTTCAAGCTCTCTTATGGTGGAGAAGGATCGTGTTGTCGATGGCTTTCGCGTATGAGGCCCCGCTGATAACAGCCGATGGAGCACTCACGATGCTGTGGGTGATGGGAGCATGGTGAGCTACGGAGAGCACAGGGCTGGAATGGATGGCCACAGTTGGCGCGGCAGCGACATGGAAGGTGGCGGGAGCGGCGTGAACGGCCAGGGTCGACGAGTGGGAGATACTAGCGTCGTTGGCGTGGTAGACGTGGTGGTTTGATCCTCCTGTGTTCACGAACTCGATTGTAGGAGCTGGAGATTCATCCCTGACAACCTGGACGATACGGGCTCCGGCTCGTCCGGGCTTCTGAACGTCGAATATCTGGGTTTGCTGACGGTGAACGACACGTTGAACTTCAGCGGGTCCGGATTGGTGGTTCACTACACGCACATGGTGTTGTTCACCGGGGACACGGATTTGAGAGATCTGGGGTCCGGCCTGAGGGGCCTCGTGCACACGGATCACTTGGTCTCCGGCCTGAACTTCCTCGATACGGATGGCTTGGCGACCGGAAGTGGTATGAATCTCATGGGTGCGAACAGCAGGAGCGGGGGCGGCGGCGGCGGCAACGGAAACCCTTGCGACGGGGGCGGCAGCGACGGCAACCCTTGCGACGGGGGCGGCAGCGATAGCCACCTTGGTGACAGGAGCGGCAGCGAAAGTGACCGCTGGGCTGTGCACGGCGATGGCTGGAGCGGTGGAAATCACCGAGGGAGCGTACGAAGTGTGGACGGCTGTCGGAACCGATGCGAGAGAATATCCTGAAGTGCCGTAGGTGGTCACTTGCGCTCGGCATGCGACCGCAGTCAAAGCGACGCAGAGGGCTTGGAATGCTCTCATGATTGTTTTCCTTATTCGGATGATACAACGATCTGTTGTCGATTCCGCGTTCGACGTGCGTTATATATACCGGATGGCGTTGGAACTGAAGAGAGGAAACGAACGAAATAATGAAAGACGACTCTCCTCGGGGTTCTGACCTTGTACTTGGAATGGAGAACAATCGTCGTCGATTGGGTCGTATCGATCCGCAGAAGAAATTTTCGTGCGACGTTCATGGAATTTGTGATTATGACGCAGCAGAAACGGTGGCACTACCGGGTGGAAGGGGCCCGCGGTACGGAATTTTCAATATCGCGAATAAGCCCCCCCTTTCGACCATCCATTATCCTGGTGCCACCGGTGTCGTGGCGGTCGTCGGACCCCTCGGGGAGACGTCGGCATCGCCCGCGCTAGGTGGGTGCTGGGAGTAGCTCGACCTGAGGACAGAAGATCATGGGAGTGAGAATCGTTCAAAATAGACAAGGCGAGCATCATGCGCTCCTCCTGCGTGTGTCTTCGGATGGTGTGTCCTAGAGCAATATCGAACGGTATCTTCTGGGATGAAAAAGCGCCGGATTTCTTCCTCAGTGGATGAAGAATGTGGAGAAGTTCACGAAAAAGTTGCAGAATCACCGAATGAACGAATGTATCAATTTACCGAGGGCGATTCCCTGCTCCGGGGCAGGAATTAATGTCAGAGAAAATGGCTCTTGTGCTGTGATTTATTGCGCAATGTTCTCGATGAACTGACGTGACCGTGAATCGTCAGCCTGTCATCACAATCTGTGTACGGTGGTATATCAGACGAACCTCTAGAGCTTTCGGGGTTTCTGCCTACAGAAATAACTCGTCTCCACAGATCCGGCAAAATCAACGCAGCCCTCGAATTAGCCGGAGTAGGCGATCCTCGAGTACGGTCATTAGCTCCGCTGGAGGGAGTGCATCCCCTTCGATCGGAGCCATAGGGGGAAAGGCACATCACTCGGCGGGAGCCATCCCGAAATAAAATCATTCCTTGTTGGAGTTATTATACATGCATCCGATGTCGAGACGACGATGGTGTCCTCAATGACGGAAATCCGGACGACCTTCACCACGCCTCCCAACTTGGACGTTGGCTCATACTGGCACTTCCGAGCCTCAGGGTTATCCCTACCGGGTCTAAACTAAAATCGCGCATTAATGAAAATTCACGCTTGAACAAAAATCATGCGAGGCTGAAATCGCGCAGAAAGGAGAATGCTTGAAATGGTGTGCAACTACACACAAAACTCTCGGAGATTGTCTTGATGCGCTGCTCGTCGTTTGATTTTTGATTCCGCGCGATTTCAGTACGGTCTCGAGGCCAATATGGTTCGTACGTACATACTTGAGCACCTAGACGAATTAGCATCCATGAGTCCAGAGGGACCACGGGTGCATTCTGTATCGGGACCTTGCGAGATTCTTCTCTGCACGATGATTCTCGATGCCGGAGCAGGCAATGAAATGATCGGTCTTCCTTTGATCGCCCCGGTCCAATCAACACAAGCCAATGGTGCCCAAGTGTAGCGGAACTCCTCATAATCTCTCCTATTCCGCAGGCCCCCCGGACAGCCTGACCGGAAATATGGCAGGCTGTCCGGACTCTCAGCTACCCACTCTTGACGAGATTGGGCTGCCACCAGTGGACGTGGGCCCCACATCTCGACTCCGCGAGGCTAAAGCCTCTCGCGGGGAAGTGCCGGCCCCTTAGACTCGAGAGAGGAGCGAGCAAGCGGCGGTCTGATTTTCGATACCCTTCCAGTGGAGCCAGGATTCATAGCGGGGCGATTGAGTACTGCCAGCCACCCGGAAGGTGGTACCTTCCACTGCCGGTCCCCGAGAGCGTTGACATCACCTCGGCCCGTGCGTGCGTAAACGCAT